TACAGTTGCATCAGATTGAACGATTCTACCCTTTATTGGAAAATGACCTGCTGTACTATAGCAGAGCAAACCATCTTCATCCTCCAACTCTCCCTCCTCTTCCTCCTCCTCTGCATTTGTCAGCTGCTGGCCTCCTAACACTGCATTAAACCACCCACATCCTCTCACCGGTCTCCGTAAGAGGAGCAGCGCTGCTTCCACCCACTCTCCTCTCTGAAATATCTGGTACAAAATGTGTGAGATGCGTGGTGTTGGGATATTTTTCTTTTCAAATATCTCGTCTTTAACCTGCTTTTGCCGTTAGCCTTCACTGCGGTGCTGTGGCTTATAGCGGATGCCCTTACCGTAGCATTCATCTGAACGTCTTGAATGCATACCAGTGGAGTGAGGTGTATCTGAAAATGCCTGAAGTACAGTACTTGGCCCTGCAACAGAGATGTCAGATACCCACCATATGGTTTAGTCTGATTTCTTTATGTTACAAAGTACAGACAGGGGTTAGGGTTGGCATTATAACGGAGGCTAAGGTAAATACCACGTGTGATTGTGCTGGCTTAACGTCTCAATATTGGGATCAAATTATAGGACTGTAAGGACTCTGGAGCAGTGATGATTGTAATCTCGTCCATGACCAATCTAGTTCCTGGTCTGATTGCAATGTATGATCTAGTGGAAGGAAAAGAGAGATGGTGGTTTGATTCTTCTACATAGCAAGTCCAGAGGTGACTCCATCCGTCTGGCACCTGAGGATATTTCCCCCGCAGCTGGTTGTTGGCATGCTCATTGGTATCACAATTTGTGTTTACCTCTGTTGTCTTAAGTTGCTAAGGAAAGATGTATTGCATAATGGCTGTTATCGGTAATGAGCAGAGGATGTTGGACCCTGAAGAGACCTGATTCCAGGCCATGTTGGTGAGTCAGGTCGAGACGCTGCCAGTTCATCAGCTTTCCTTTGGGCTTCCATGTCTTCAATGATCAAAGTTAAAGAGCTTTGGATGCAGGGTGACACACTCAAAGATCCTGCTGTTACACGTTTAATACAGAGTAATGTAACTTAACGAGGGAAGTTTCAGCTTTTGAATTTGTCACCACACATTTTGGCAGACAAACAGGCACCTAATACCAAACAACAGATGTTGCTGATCAACTTACAGGTGTTCATAACAAACTTTGACATTGAGCAATCATTTAGGTGTGTTCATACTGATAGAAAGTGAATGAATAATGGGGAGAATGTCTTTCTTTTGCAAGATGTTGCAATATCATTCCCTCACGATCCTCTTAACTGAGTCATTTTATCTGAACTCTGGATTTCCATGACTAGAAATGAGTCCGTCAAACCCAAAAATGTTGATGGCAGAGGAAGAGAATTTGCTTCTCAACCAAAATTGAGAGTCAACGATCTGCCGGCTGCCAAAAGAAGCAAATATTTCTCTCGCTGTGTCATGAGGGAGAATGGGATGTTTTGCTTAGCTGCAGAATCGCCAAGAGTGAAGGAAGCCAACGGCGCAAAGGCATGCTAATTACCATTTTCCAAACAGAGAGTTGGTTCCTAATGAACACTGTTGTAATGACACACACCATATGACCCAAGATCACAAGACCTATGAATACTATATGGTAAGGAGAGGAGAAAAGGGCCTAAACCGAGCAGTTATATTCCCCAGTGGGAAAACTAGGAAAAGTGTCTCGTTTACTGGTATCGCATGGCGAAAGACATTTCATTGTTTTACTTTAGGCAGTAGTAAATCCCATGAAGCTGTGTTGTAGCTTTAAAATTGCTTTTATTTTGTATTGTTGGCACTCTAGTGTTGGCTTCGATTCTCAGAACTATAGGTTCTTATAGGAATCTTAATAGTTTATGAATGATGTGTTTTTAATTAAGTCATTGTCATGCACTCAAACATTTCTATTTGATGTTTGCTATTAAATCCAACACGATTATTTACACATTTCAAATTTAAATTCTATAACCTTTCAATACACTTCTGCCTTAGTTAGAAACGCAATATTCAGGTCAATATATTGTATGACAGCTTACATTACACAAATGTCCTCTACCTTTTAGTTAGTGTTTTCACAGATGTATATCCCATAAATATTGGTGCTGATCCAAGACGTCCACCTGCCTCTCCATCTATCACACACTGACATAGAGAAACCCAATCTCTTTCCGATTTGTCCCCGTCTCCCCTTGAGACTCCGCTCCATGTCTCCCATCCAGACAGTATTCATATTATTGTCTGAACAACTTGAAAGACTAGAATAAGTTTATGCTCGTTTCAAAATGTCCATGCTCCGATCAACAAAAGGACACTTGTTTGTGCCCCTTGTCTCTCGGTCATTTCCTTGTTGAGGGTTAAGGGGAGGAGTGGCTCTGTGGACTGTGGCGGCTGACAATCCCACATTGTGTGAACTGCTGCTGCTTCACAAAGGGCCCATTGTGGAGAGCGGTGGCCCGGGAAGAGGGGACCGGGTCCAGGCTAGGTGACAGAGAGGTGTGGGTTCAGGGGGCCTGGGTCTGGGGGCCAGGTCCAAGTTAGAGACGTCTATTGGTGCTTGTCCCCGGAAAGTGCTGAGGCAGGGAGGGTGCACACGTGTGCTGCTTCTGTACATTTACTGAACTCCCACATGTCCACCTACTTTGTGTAAGCACTCCAATCTCTCTCAGATGTGAAGCCCTTTTATGAAAATAGGTTTTTCAATCAGAGCTGTTGTCAGTCTCAGATTTATCATCTGCTGAGAATCCGATGTGATTATAAAACTGTGGGGGGGGGTTAAGCTGCTTGTACAACTGTTCCCAGAATTTGAAATATGTTGCTGTTTATCCTCCTCTGACTCGAGCTCTAGGACATGTGTGGAGATTTGTTTACTCAGACAGATGGCCTTGCGGTCCAAAGTCAGAGTCCACAAAACCCTTTTTTTCCCCTGCTGCACTGCTGTGCCTGTTGACCACCAGTTTGAGACTTAATCTCCCTTTTTCTCTCCCCCTCTGTCCCAAAAAGTCCTTCCTCTCTCCATGTCTGAGTGTGACAGGGTCTCAGGTCAAGCTGACACCCGTCTCTCTGGTCAGTCTGAAGCAGGCGTGGGCCCTCTTCCAGCTGTCCTGTCCCACGGTCTATTTGTCCGACTGTCTTTCTGTCTGTCAAGCCCGGCTGTTGCCCTGGCCTCTCACCTTAATGTCAAGAGCCCTTCATTTTTAAAGCATAAGTTGAACCAAATGATGTAGACTTACTGCCTCTGTGGCACATTTGTTTGACTCTAGAACACAAAGAATGTAAAGGTTATGTTGTTTCATGCTTCCTCCGTTTTGACACTTAGTTTAACCCTATCACTGTTTTTGCTTAAAATATGCTTAGCCAAACTTGTAGACTGTGGTAAAAGAGTAAAGTGACATTTAACAGTAACAAAGTCAACAAGGCCTCTCATCTGCCCTCAGGGTTGGATTACCACTAACTATTAACTATTGATTTCTCTGTCCACATTAGAGCCTTCCAGTGCTGGCAGGCTATGGTTATGCTGCACAAATGGTGTGCTTGTCTTAGATGTATCTGGTCACTAGCAAACATGAACGTGATACCTTTTTAATTTAGTGTCCAGCTCTGTCCCCTAATATATTCCGATCTTGCAGCAGACTGTAATTTATCATCTGTGGCTTCCTGGTACTTAAAGCTTGGAACCACCGTGGTATTTTGGTGTCTATAATTCTGCCTATATGTTTAGTGAAGTGAAGGTAGGGCCCTGAAGCTGTTCAAACAGCCACACATGCCCATTGTGCTTAGTTATGCAGTACTCGCTTACTTCATTGAGCAAATATAAATCCCTTGGTCAACATAAGATTATCATGGCTTCTCCCGTTGCTAGTGTAAGTCATTTGGAGGTCAGACAAAGCAAAAGTCAGTTTTCTGAAAAAGCAATATTTGTGTGCAAATACTTTCCTTCTGCAAATTGCTACTGTCTTTCAAAGAATTCATCTGCACAAGTATTTTACACTTAGAAAAGTAGAAATGTATTTATTTGATTTGCCAAAATGCATGATTAGCACAAAAGGTTCACTTGCTGTGCAATAGACTATAAATAGATGATCTTATCTATTGAAAGTTAAGCTAGCATGTCTCCATTCATTGTAAATGAGCCGTGCTTACAAACAAAGCCACTGTGTGCTTATATAAACTTGCATGTGAAAACCTTTTTAAACAAAGTAGTATTAGTGTGGAAGTCCTGTGGTCATGTTATTTATGGCGGTCGAATGGTATCCATGTACATAGTCGGGTTTACACCTCACAGCTAAGCATCAGACAGATTAATCTCAAAACCTCTCGGTGAACCCATGAACCAGCACGGTTTTAAAAATGGAACAGACAGTCCTGTTCACAGGTCCTTTCAGGCTCTTTAAAGCGCCGCAATATACAACAGCGCTGTGAAGATTTGAGCATTACCAACACTGTAAGGTCAATGCGAAGTAAAACGGTCTATTTAATGTTCTAAATAATGTAAATGAGTGATTTAATGCTGTTTTTGTATGCAGCTTGTTCTAAAAACAACCATTCTTTAAAAGCTACTACAACTGCATGACTGTTATGCACTTATCCTAGATTGTGTAGTGACTATTACACAACTGCTATAATGCAATGCCACGTCCATCAGAGTTGTAAACAACAACCTATTTTCCCCATCTAAAATCAGCCTATGTGTCACTTTCTTTTACAAATGGAGCTTGTAAAGTAAAGAGCTGCATATGCGATGCCATTATGTAATTGGTGTCCTTTTTTAAAGTGCTGAAATACACAACGCAAGAAACAGAAATATCACAACGAGCGCTAACAGGAACATTCGATGTGCACAGACTGTGATTATATCAGCTCGTGGTGTGCCAAGCTTGGCAGGAAAATTGATGCTGGGGTGGGTTGTGTGAATAGACCATGTGGAGGGATACGTGGGCACGTCTGTTCTCTTCCCCACTTAACACTTTCTCTGTGTGCCCCTCTTGTGTAATGCAGCCCAGCACCCTGCCACAGGGGACGATCAATATGAACCAGTGCTCCGACGTCATCAACGGAGAGTCCAGGACGGGGCAGAAGAACTCGCTGTGCATCCTGACCCCGGAGAAAGAGCACTTTATACGCGCTGAGTGCAAAGAAATTATCAACGGGTAAGAGATAATAACCAGGACTTTGAACGGTTAAAGAGGACATATTCTGCTCATTTTCAGGCTCATATTTGTATTTTGTTTCACTACTGTGACTGTGACTTTAATCTTCAAAAAGGTCTTCTCATACTGCCTGTGTCGCAGCACCTCTTTTCACCCTCTGTCTGAACTTTGGGATTTTAGCCTTTGCGAACCATTTACATGCACGCAAACCTAAATAACACACTACAGGAAAGGGAAAACCCCCAAAATCATAATATGGCCCCCCATTACTAAGTACATTTACTCAAGTACTGGAATTAATTACTATTTTGTCAAACTTTGTACTTGAATGTACTGCTACTTTACACTTCCACGTCAAATATCCCACTTCTTCCTCCATTACATTTATTAACACTAATAGTTACTAGTTACTTACATGCTATGCTGATATGATTCAGTACTGTACTACTAAAGAACACAGTATACACAATCATATGTACATTACATTACTCTTGTTTGTATTATCATTACATGTTGATATTGTTCATGATATCCTTCATTTATGGTTATCTTCTTTCATTGGCTGATTTGACATTACATAATATTGTTAACATGGTTTTTTAATGTTTTGCTGTTGCACCGTCTTTTACAATTTGCTATAGAAATACTGTGTTTTGATTGGGTAATGCCATACAGCCTCTCTGAATTTGATCAAAACTAAATAATATAATACTACTGTGGAAAGATCCTTTCTGCATCACATGACTTTTACTAAAAGTAAATTAAGCTTATTTACTTCTGTACTTTTACTTGAGTAACATTCTATATTTGGGCCTTTTACTCACATTCGAGTAGACTGTATTATTTCTACTTTGTTAAGAACCTGAGTACTTCTTGCCCCACTGTGTAGTAAATACAAATGTATAATCAGCTGTATTTTCCTATAAGGCATTATAACTGCCTCAGCACGGTTTTTGTTGCTCTGTATTTTGTTTTAGTGTTCAGGGATGACAGAGGTTTGGGAAAGGGAGAGTATTTGTGCGCAGCTGCCTTTGCTGCCAAACTGCTCTGCCCCCTGCTGTCTCTGTTGCACTGTGCGTTTCAGAGCCTAGTAATCCACACTGCAGTGACAGTGCACATTCTTGAACTGTTCTCTCTCCCTGTGTCCACAAACCTCCCCCCCCCCATATGCCTGGACTCAGAGCCCAACACACGAGCTTCGGTTTATTCGGTTTGCTATCGTCTGCTTTTCCTGTGTGTTTCTGCACTGTACGCTCCCTCCCTGAATGTAGCGTACATTATATGGCTATTCTGAGGGGACTGTGACTCACAACACCTACTCTCCGTTATGCTACCTGCTCCATCTCTGCACACCTCCCACCCGCTATCATCTGGCTCCCATGTGTTCGTTCCGAGCTATCACACAATCATATTAACCCTTGCCAAGGCTGCTGTTCACTGATAGCGATGTAACAAGCTGGATTTAAAAAACATTTGTATTGTTTTCAATCTCCTTACATTTGATATTTGATTACATTACAGTATAAAAACAAGGCTGCATTGTTACTCATACAGAGTCACATGTTTGTATTCACAGTGTGACACACTTTACAAAGTGGGTGCAGCCGAAGATATTTGATAATACATGATTGTTGCCTACCAAAGTACTTAACATGATTATTCTAATCATTAAAAAGCCAGGGTTTTCTGTATTGCAGATAGGGAACATTTCGTTTTTTCCGTTATATTTTATCCTTCATTCTTTGTTTTGTTAAATTGAGTATGCTAAACCTTCAGCAGACTGCTCCCGGGTTATTTATTCAAATGATTTCTACTGAGGATACGCATTGATTACCTTGTGTGGAAGGGGGATTGAGCATCTCTGAGTGTGGGAGTATTATTTGTGCAGTACATAATGTATTTATGCTTTAAAATACAATGCTTGACTAAATCCACCCCGGCTAATAAGATAATAGTTTCCTTATGAATTGCCTTTTCAGTAAAGAGCACACAAACGGTGCCAAAAAACAGACATAAATTATAAAGGCAAATCAGATGTAGAGTAACCAAGCTTTAAGATGCGTTGTGTTGCCACCTAGAGGATTAAAAGTTACTACATGTTTTATTTTCTGCATTTAGCTCAGTGTTTGTTTAAGAAGTAGAAGTGTAGTTTTATATTTTCCTATTTCAGTATTAGGTTGTACAAATGCTTGTTTTTGCTTTTATAATGGTTTCCTTTTCCTGCAGAGAACTTTTCCGTGTCATATTTTGATCGAGTACAGGTGCAGGGTATGTATAGTCTGCATTCATTGTCACAGGAACAATACTTGACTGTTTCACTATTCGTAGGTGGCAGGAGGCTCTGACTGTTTACCCCCGGACCAACAAGCAGAACCAGAAGAAGAAACGCAAAGTGGACCCACCCTGTCACCAGGTAACACACTCCTGGGCAAAGTGACTTATCTTGCTCACACTGAGGTAGCGTCACTGAAAAACTAGGTCTAAGGGTTTGAGACAAAAGTACAAGTATTTCTAAATAAAAGACAACATTCGGGCTCCCAGTAAAAAAGAAACTTTAAAGTGTTTCTTGTTCACACTTTAAAGGTGGCTACCCCCATACATCAGCACTGAGCTAAAGTGAGCATTATAAATCATCCACATAGAGTGATTGTGCCATTCCTACAGCTAAGAAAGAACATATTTAAGGACAATGTGCCTGGGAAATATGCAGCATGGAGGCTCCTCATTCCACTCAGTCTACACCAGCTGTTTTCCCTCCAGAGATAGAGAGATGTATTGTTTTTCTGCCGGCAACATGATGAACAGTTTGTGCTTTGCATATTTGCATTCTTGAGTCCCGTGATGCGGCCGTCTCACTGCGTGCCACATACTCTTTAAATTAATTTGTACCACTGTGTTCATAGCACAGTGGTACAAATTCTGCCAGTTATACCAGCATTTATGTTCTTTAACAATGTATCTCTTATAAAGATGCAGAACGGGTGACGTACTTTTAATTTATAGAGCCACCTGGTAAGAAGGCAGCAAACATTGTTGAGCTATCAAAATATTCCTGAGCAAACATCCAAGGATGAGGACGACAGCTGCCTGCTAAAATAACATTCAGCAATGTGACCATGATCCGCTCTCCTCTCAGTTCTCCCTTGCGCTCTGTGCTGTTACAAAGTTGTGTCCATCAGCTTTTCTTTTATCTGCAAGACCCCCGACTCCTACCTCCTCAGTTCTCATATTTTCATTTGACATTATTAGTCCGATTCAAGACTTACAAGTTGAGGTCTGTACAAAAAGCCCAAACCAATGCAGTCTAAAGCCCTTTCTTTATTTTACATCACCTGTGTGCCATTGTGAAATATTGTTAGATCACTTCACCTGAAGAAAAGGTATTTCTGTTGCCATACCTTATAGAAGTACATTCCGATGATCTTGTTTCCCTCCTGTTTCAAACGTTACAATGCTGTGAATTGTTAGAAGAATCCTCAAATCAGCTAAAAATGTTCATTGAGGATCCTAAACGTTCTGATTACACATCGACAGCCTGAGCTCTTGCACATTTCCTGAGAATTCATGTCAAAGTCTGTGTGTCTGTAAAGCTGGACATTAGGACTTGAATCTGCTGTAGTGCTGTTCGTTATTGACCACACTGCGCAGGGACCCTGAATGACAGCTACCCTCGAAGAACAATGTGTCTAGAAGGATTCTATAAATAAGTAAATAATACAAAGTTCAGAATTTTCTATGAAATCACAATGCAAACTTCAGTCAGATTTCTCCATATTAGACAAGGGTAAAGCTCTATTACTATGAAAACAGTTTTAATAGCGAGATGAAATACAGGAGTTTCAGACCACCTACCGTGGGTCGGATACAGCTCTCCCCCCTTCCCATCCTCCTTTCTGATGCAAGGCCAAATGTGTGGTGGGTGCACAGAAAGTTCTCTCTGAAGTTCATTGTCTGGCTCCTCTAATGACGGCGCCCTGAATCCGACTGTGACCTTGCTGGGACACTGACGGGCTCATTTGCAGCGGGACGAAGTGACACAGGGATGACCTTAACTCCCATGTGGCATCCAAAATACTTTTTCTGTTTAAATGAATATACCCTCTCTACACTAGGATCGCATTCAAGCTCCATTAACGTCTGATATGAGCTTTAAAAAACAATAAATTGTACGCTCTTAACCAAATATTCTATCTTTTGTGAAATAACACTCAAGCAGTCAAGGCCAAGTGACACAATTAGGGCTGCTAGTGTGATTATGCCATTACTGCTTGTCTTTTTCAGTTTCTATCATCGTCTCAGGGGTTGTTTGGGGGTGGAAATGTGATATAGCGTGTCACGGATAAATACCCACAGTTTACTTACGGCTCACATTTCTGCATAAGAGCTTTCCTCCCACTGAAGTTACTAGAGACAAATGCTAGGTGTAAATACTAGCAAAGAAAATGTTTACCTACTGGGTCGTGCCCCTAAATTGAAGCACCTGACCTTTCAAACAAATTCCATGATGGGAAACATACTATTGTAACTGAAAGGAGTTTTTACTTTCTTGTGTTACTCTCAATAAACACATGTGTTTTTATCTCTTAAATATGTATGAATTTGGCCCTAAACCACAATAAAACGAAACGCCATCGTCCAAATAATACAAAAACTATAAAATAATAGAGAAGTATTGTTGGCTGTTCTTGGATTGATAATAAATCAGCAGGACGTAGCATTAACATCAAAGGCTTTTGTGATTGGCAGGGTGGAAGAAATGCAAGCCAGTGTTTTTCCTCTGAAGACATGAATGGACACCCAGTGAGTTCAGCTCGGCCGAACATTTTAGCTTCATTCTTTTGAATCCCCGAATACATTTTTACTTTTATAATCACTATCAATCCAGGTGAAGGAAAGGCTTTTATGATTCTCTCGCCAATACTGAACGGGTGATTCTCGTTACAACGGCATGTTTATGGTGATTTTAAGTAGGCTATGTTTGAGGGCCGCTTTTCTTTGGAAATCTTGCTTTCTCTTGTTGTAAATTCTGATTCCAAAAAGGGCCTCTTTTTTTGTACAAGCTTTGAAATTAACAATAATTGAGGCAATGAAATCTTATTAAATCAAATCTGCATCGACAGAAATTCTCCAATAATACTGATGTGTTTGCCAGAATTAATCCATTTTCTTTGTTAAGCTGTCAATCACTTTTTATCTCCACATATCTTCCTTCTCGCTCCAGAGCATTTGTTATTGTTACCTATAATTACATTTGTATTGTAATGACACTTTGATATTGGTTACAAAAGGAGAAATAAATGGAAAAAGTGTGGGGATAGGAGGTAACTGGGCTTTGCAGATCACTTATAATAACTAATAAGTGACATTAACTGCTTTAATGATACAGTAGTGTCTGAATTGGCTCAATATTGGACCCTAGTGCACTTCAGATGAAGCATTAAATTGAGCTGATGTCCAAATATTTTTTTTAAATTAAGCCTTGATTTAAAGAAAATATATTTGCTTTGAGTTTTCGCATTTACTTTCCAGTGTTTAATTTCTCTTCAATCCTTTTCCTTCCTCGTATTCCTTTTCCGTAGTCTATCTGTAACCTTGCCTCCCATCATGTAATTTCCTCTTCCCTCCCCCTCCTCCCCTCCCAAACCCTCACCCAGGAGCCCGGCCCTGCCAAGGTGACGGTAACAAGCAGCGGGGGGGGCAGCATCCCCTGCCTGCCCAGCAGCATCGCCGGCGCTGTGAGGGTCCCGATGAGCCGCACCACTCTGTGGCAGGAGGAGAGCCGCTGGAGCCGCGCCTCCATCCCCTGCAGCCGCAGCGCCTCCTGCCTCAGCCAGCTGGGCCAGAGCCAACCGGAGTCCAGTGTCAATACTCAGGACGGTGAGGGCAACGATGACAAATTCCTCAACATCCTGCACCTATGCTTCAGTTATAGTTTCACTTACATAATGAAAAACAGGTCAACAAAAAGGAGGTTTGAAAATGTGCTGGTCACGACTAACATAAAGACATTGGCACATACTGTATCTCTTTTAGTTACCAGCTCAGCATGATGTAAAAGCTGCAGACCTGGGCTTTAAGGGACAGTTCAACCCAAAATGATCGCCTAAATAACCTTTATTAAAACTTTACATCAATTGTTCTTCAAAAATACATAACCTTATTAAGCAAAAAAGATCCACAGACCTTGTTGTGAGCTGTTTCATGTAGGTATTGTACATAAAACAACTCGAAGCAAGGTCCGTGGAGTATGTTAAGTAGCTGGTCAGGATTGCTGAAGAGAGACTTTGCTGTTGAGTTTTTCAAATGTATTTTTAAGGAGCTCTGAGCACCACAAAAAGTGCCATCTTGTTCCATAATATTAGAGAAAAAGCAGACATCTCTGTAGTATTTATCTCCAACACTTGGCAATTTACGCCAAACAAATGTAGATTAATAAAAGACACAAAAGGTCAGAGGGAAAACTTGACCATCAGCCTTTTCTTTTTCGATCTTTATTGTTTTGGGAAAAAAGTGACATGCCTTACTCTTTTGCAGTATACAACAGATATATTTTAAAGCATGAACACATTTTGACACCATATATGTGTCTGTTCTGGGTGATCCATATCAGTTGAACTGTGTCTTTACTTCAGATACCGGATCCATGAGCACTGGACGCAAGGTACGAGTGGAGAGCGGTTACTTCTCCCTGGAGAAGACCAAGTCGGAGCCCTCCCCTCAGTTTGCCCTGTCCCCACAGTCTGTGCAGCCGCCCCAGCACCTGCCGCTGTCCTCTTCAGCCTCGTCCTCCTCTTTAGGAGCTCTCAGTCCCAGGTACATCTCAGAGTCAGACTCCCTAACATCCCCTTATCCTCCCTCCCAAGATCCTCTCCCTTCTCCAGGTGCGCTTGTTTCCCCCAGCTACTCCACCATCAGCTCCTCCCAGAGCTCGCTGGACTCTGAGCCCAGCGGGAGTATACCCACCTGGGAGGGACGCTGTGGTGGTGGAGGCAGCACCGGGAGTGTGGGTGGTGGAGGAGGCAGAGTGGGGCGGCCTGGCAGGGAGTACACTGCGCTGTCTGATGTGCCTCGAGCTCGCAGAATGAGCTACCGTGAAGCTTTCCGCTCAGAGAAAAAGCGACAAGAGCTGAGGGCACGGACACGGAGTCCCGGCAGAGAGGAGGTGGCTCGGCTGTTTGGGCAGGAGCGCAGGTAAGAGGGATCAGTGTCATGCTCTGCACAATCAATAAGTTGCATTTAGCATGGAAAACATATATGCAGATTCATTTGTGATAAAAATGGCAGCGAATCATGATTAGTAATCATTAATGAGCCACTGGTTGCCTTAAAGGTCTCCTATTATACTGTTTTTCATCAATATATTATAGGTCTCAGATATATACAAAACATGTCTCTGAAGTATTTGGCTGAAATACCAAACAGATCATTGCAGCATTACCCATAATCCCCCTCTGTTTCAGCCCTGTTTCAAAAGTGCTGATTCTCTGTCTGTTACTTTAGATCAGGGGTGTCAAACTCAAATACACAGTGGGCCAAAATTAAAAAAATCGGTACTCGTCGAGAGCCGGACTGGTTCAATGTTTATTGCAAAACATATTGAAATAAACGTATTGCACATATTAAACCTGGAACTAACAAAGCTTAAATTATTGCCTATAAAAACAACATTAAATAATCAGTTGCATTCATTTCTTATGGCTCTATCTGCAGCTTTTCCGGAGTCATTTCTTATGATTACATTTTTCCACAGGCCAACAACAGCTTCAAAAAAAACAATTCCCCTCAAAGAAAAAACCAAACATGCCCTGTTGTTGTGAGAAAAAAAAGTGCAGAAGGAAACATCCATTAAACTCAGCTTGCTGCTCGGTGATGCTAGTTCAAGCCAGATACTTGGCATCTCATCTTGGGTGCAAGTTCATCAACGTTTGGGCTCAGGCTCTGAGCTGAGGAAACCCTCAGGATTGAGTGAAGGTGTGCGTGCAATGTACCGGCGGGCCAGATCTAATAGTAATTAGAAATTATCCTGCGGGCCGAAATGAAATCCACCAAGGGCCTGATTTGGCCCCCGGGCCTTGAGTTTGACACATGTGCTTTAGATGAAAATAAGGAGCCCCTCCCCACGCCCCTCTGAGAGATATTTGGTTAAAAATAACACAATGGTGCTCTAGGAGGAGGTTCAGGTGATAAGGTGGGCGGGGTTACCTTTGTTGGTGATTGGCTAATGGTTACAAAACCCCCAAAAAACCTTATGACATCATAAAGTGGCCAAAATCTGATCAGCTCATTTTCAGACTGGATTTTATATAAATGGATCAGGACAAAAAGAGAGCAAATCTTTTTTTCTGAAACTTTCAGAGGGGACACATGTTGATGTATAAAAGACATGGAGAAGTGGATTTTGCATAATAGGTGACCTTTAAAACATCTAGATAGCATTTAATTTATAATCTGAATCTCATGCATTCAGCGTTTCAGTTTTTAGCACCACCCTGTGGCTGCTGTCCTTGAGACTTTCTTATATCTTGAGCATCTTTTGCTATCTCTGCTTCAACTAGCTTAACAGTGGTTTTCCATTAATGATTTAGGGATGCATATGCATGTTTTATTTTATTTTCTATTGATCTTTTACCTTCTGCTCTTGCTACTTTCCTAGTTTCTTTTGTCGTTTCAATCTTTTCCAGGAGGCTACTGAACTGAGCTTCTCAGAGCAAATGCTCAACCAACCCCTCCACCCCTGTCCCACAGCTGTTCCCTGCTGGTCACCGCTGATTCCTGCTTTCTATCATTTCATCTCTGCACTGCCTGGGAGCACACACACACTGTTTATATATATGATTTATGTATACTGTACACAAGCATACTGGTGGTTGGTACTGCAGGTTTACATACAGTCTGATCTTTATCTTTCTGGTGCACACACACACACTCAACATACATAATAACACGTGCAGAGTCTTAAGGTAACACCGACTTTGTGGCCACTGCTTCTACTTCTGCAATTTGTTTAATCTACCATCCTAGTCATTTTCCCTTTTTTAATCTCATCATATAACACCTAATCTTTATTCATTTATGTATTTCTGGATTGTTCTCTTTTGGAATGTTATCTCTACATTGCACATTGTAATATATGAAGGGGACTTTGAGTCTAAAATGATGTCCAAACTTCCTACGTGTTGTATCTACCTGTTTGGCAGTAATGGCTGCATTTCATTCTGCACAATTAACAAAAAATGATCAATTGCGGAGATTGTTTTTGACTCAAATTAACTTTTTTATCATGCTTATGGTCTTGATCTTATGCTGATTCTGCCACCATTTGGCTGTGGTTTTTACGAACTGTTATTTTTTTATGCTGCACTATGTAATGATATTTCACTTATTGCCCGACAATACTTTTATGTTGAGTAAGATTTTGTTTACTGTTGTGTTTTGAGTAAGTCTTTGTAACAATATGGTCCTTTTGTGTTTCTTAGACGTTCTCAAGTCATTGGCCGATTCGAGGAAGGTCAGTCTGAAGAGCACATGGACACAAGCGGCTCCAATGATCCCTCGGCTAACCCCACGCTAATCCAGAGACAAGGGCGCAGCGAGAGGCGCTATCTGGCTAGTAAACATGTATGCATTTCTCTTTTTAAAATAATTTGGTGAATGGTGAGTGCTTCTCATTTCTAATACACATTTTATCTTTAAAGGACCTGTCCCTGGATGCAGGAAAGGACCGTTCAGTCCCTGATGTGTCCAGCTCCACTTTTGCTAACTTAAGAAGAGCCAAGTCCCTGGACCGCAGAGTCACCGAGTCCTCCATGACTGTAAGTACTGATCACACATCTCAAATGTCAACAAGGGGACTACGAAATCATGTCAGGGTCCCCTTAAAGTGCTTTGTGATTTAAAGTTTGGGATGCACAGATACCTTCCCAATGGAAACTGCCAATCAGAAGTGCTGCAGCAAAGATTGAACCCATAATACGAAGCTTTTTTTGGTTGTTTTCTCTGCATCTGCACTGCTTAATCGTATTTTATTGACATGGTCCGTGTAGTTACTTGAAACTTGAAGTATCCATATCCTCAAACATCGTCCATGTCCGCATACATAATATTATATTAGCAAAGTCTTCCCTAGTGAGATTAAAAAAAAACTAAAGTTGCCTAAGGTTGCTCTGGTATCTTCTTGACGTCTGACTCACAGTCTGACACACTGATCCTAGGTCTGCTCAGTGCTGCAGGGGTGATCCAGTCAGTGTGTGGTCGAGCTGCAGCTGCCCGAACCCCCGCCCACTCAAACACACACACATTCATGTACACACCACGGTCGCACACACTATTGATAATTATAAATAGCCGACACAGAGGCAGCCTCAGTCGTGTGTATGTCCCCGGGACAGAAGGAAAGACACAGATTGTCAACATATGCAGTGAAGGCAGTTAGCCATCAGAATGACTCTCTGCCAGGCTGTGACTCCACACCTGATGAAGCTCAGCAAAAACAAGGTACTGTTGAGTGAGCAGAGGCCAGGCTTTTGGACCAGTGATTTGACTTTAGAGTCTATAAACAGACTTGAGCTTGGTTTCAATGTGCAGCAGTTTGTGTTTCACAGGGAAAGTCCAGCTCCCGCCAGTCGGTCTTTTTAGCTGGAGCCACGTATCTGCACTTTTTCTTCTTTAGGCTGAGGTGGTGACCTATGTGTAAACAAATGCATATAATTGCAGTGGTGCATATGGAGATGTTGGTTATGTATTCTAGTTACATCAGTGATAAAAGCTCTTAGTAAGGACTTTAAATATAGTGACACTCGTTATACTCTGTGTATAATGACAATAAAAGGCTTTAACTTAAATGTGCAAAAATGCTTAAGCAAAATATACTTTATTTCAATCCTTTTTGTATCAATGTGGTTGATATTTAATCAAAGATGGCTTCTAAGTGGTGGCTGAATTTCCTTTTACTTTCAATGAGTTCATGTAGTAGCATCACATAATATCACATCACTCTATTCTGTCTTCATTGCAGCCAGATCTGCTGAACTTCAAAAAAGGATGGATGACAAAGCTGTACGAAGATGGGATGGTATTTTACTTTTATTTGAGGGATTGAATTACATTGGCTTCTACTGGATAAACCATATACTCATCCAATTTATGTTGTCTTTTCCCCTTTAGTGGAAGAAACACTGGTTTGTCCTGACTGATCAGAATTTGCGATACTACAAGGACTCAATAGCCGAGGAGGTAAAACACATTTTCCAGAGACTGTGTGCTTTTATTTTTGAATAAATATGCAAATAAAAAGGCTTTTTGTTGTAATTTGTCTTTTTCCCTAGGCTTCATTAATGGATGGTGAGATCGACCTCTCCACTTGTTATGATGTCAAAGAGTTCCCGGTCCAGAGGAACTACGGCTTCCAAATCCTGGTGAGTTTTGATTCTTCACGTCATCTTGTGCCGGGACATCTCTGTCACGTCATCTCTGCTGTCTCCAGCCAGTCTATTAACAGCCATTTGACAACATGTGAGGCATATGTAGGTATCATGTTTGGTCTTTCCGAAACGATTATTTGTCTTGCTTGACGGATGCCACTTGACTTGTCATCTCTGCGAGAGGCTGACATCATTGCGGTCTAAATCCACATCCTTCACAATATTTTTACCTTCCTCTTGCATTCAAGTCAAAGTCAACTTCAATGTCAATCTTACTCAGTTTGTGTTTACAGACAGAGAGATCGAAATGACGTTTCCAACAATCCCGAATGTAAAATTATACAGTACACAGATATGTATAAAATATGTATATCCTATATACACAATCAACAGACACATTTACACATGCACACATTAAGATAAAAAAAAAACACAATATATACAAATACAAATAACAGTCACTTCAATATCAATATCTTTGGTGCAAGATTGTCCATAAAATGTGCATTTGCTGCAGATTGTCCATAGCAGCATAAAATAAAGTGTCAATTGTGCTGGATTTGAGTGTGTGTGTGTGTGTGTGGGGAGTTACGGCCCGTCCACACAGCGGCTTTGGAAAAAGCTTGCCGGCGGGCGTGTCTGAAGCTCGACCAACAACCAATCACATGAATCTCCCGCCCCTGACACACAAGCAACGGTTTGATTAGCTAGAGCTTGTACTGGCATACGATTTGATTGGCTGACGCTTCCGTCGAAGCTTCAGAAGCTTCAAAAGTTGAACATTGCTCAACTTTTGCAGCCTGAAACGCCAGGAAAGCTCCGCTCTGCTTCCCACAATGCAGTTTGGTGAAAAGTGACGTCACCCCATTCAAAGTGAATGGGCAGAAGCGTTGGAAGAAGCTTCCAAAGCCGCTGTGTGGACGGGCCGTTATAGTCCAGTGGGGGCAGGGGAGAGAGGGGAGGGGAGGAGGGGGAGAGAGGGGAGGGGGGGAGAGAGTTCAGCCTCCTGACAGCCTGGTGTAAAAAACTGTTCTTTAGTCTGGTTGTGCTCGACCTCAGGCTGCGGGACCTCCTCGTTGTCCACATTTATTCAACAACACTCACGCTTTAAAAACAGTTTGGTAATTTCACTCTGAAGTGTAATTGCACAACTGTTGTGCAGTTCTGAGGATGCTGCTGTGAATCCTAGGACAGAACACTTTCGTCATATAATCGTTTCACCATGCCATTAAACATTTTTAGCACTTGTTGCTGGCAAAATACTAACCAGACGCATATAGTTGCAATGCAGTTGAATCGTTATCCATTTGATGTCAGTGTGGGTTTTGTTCCTGCTACATATAGATTCAAACTGTATCAGATAGAGAAACAGAGAGCTGCAAGGTCACTTATTTTGTTTACTTTTGCTTGAAGCAGCTTTCCCAGCTATTTTTCTCTGGGGGAATTCCGAAATAGAAAAGTGGAAGGGATCGTTGTCTCTTTGGCTGAGAACAACATGGGTTTGGTGACGAGAAATGAATAACCTCAGTATTTATGTCCACTGCCTCTGCTGCACGGTCAGACTGGAAGAGGCTGTTGTTCTGTCATTACCGTTAAAGCAGTGAAATAAAGTACCCTGTTTCTCAAACCCCATTATTGTGTCCTTAGAAGCTTTAATGAATATAATGAAATCACTTAACTTCCACTAGAGGTCCTGTACATGTATTACATACAAAGTCATGCTGAAAAACTAAAGCCATTAAGCAAAGGATTCCTCAGTTTAAATGAATATTTCCTCATCCATTTTCTAAATGTGGATATCCTTTGCTTAATGGCACAGGGAAACAACTATGTGTAATTGTACTGTATGTAACAGTGTTTTATTTGCCTCAGCTCATTTTTTTTATTCTAGAGACTATTAACATGATATGGTATTATTAGAAAACCCCAAAACTAAAGGTTGCCCATAAATGATTACAATGTCAGTCACTGTAATAGATAAGCAGCAGTTTTGTATAAAGCAGTTTCCCACACGTCCTAAACTGCCCAGAAGTGTCCTTAATTTATGACAAAGCAACAGCTCTGCAGGGTAGGGTGCACTGTGTCTTTAGTGCAATATGTGGGCCTCTTTCGGACTTTCAAAACTCTATTTGTTACAATTACTTTGAAGAAAGGGAGCGGCAAACATACATGACATAATCAAAACGTCCCGTTTTACTTCTGTCGCTAGTCTAGATGGTGTAGTGATAGAGTAGAAAAACATGCTTTTCTTAGCTTTCTGTCAGTGTGATGTTCTGCTTTAAGCTTCATAAACATGAGCTCAGTGTAGTCTAACAGCACAACAATGTAGAGTAAAAGAGAAGTGAGGCCAGTGTTTTTGTTCTCTTTTGCAGTTTTCTTGCCATTTGTTAAACTGTTAAAAAGAACTGAGCTATGAGCAGGGAACCTGAGTTCGGAGAACCAAGAGAGAACGTAGAGGTTTAGATGTACTCCTTAGAGTAGGAAGTGTTCTGCATGAGAGCTGCTTTTTAAAAAATCATCCTTCGTAAGAAGCTACTGAACGTCATCTAATGCAGTAATTATAATTTGTCTACCCACCAGTAGCAACAAATGAGTCTAGCCCCTGAAACAAAAAAAGCCTTACATCGTCTAGGCAACGCCACATTTCTTCTATTTGAGGCTTGTGCAAAAACAAGGGCTTCGTTTCAAAGGTATTTTAATCGGCGTGTTGTCACTTCCCTGTCACTCATGTAAATGAAATGCCTTTCTGTTTTCAGTGTAAGGAGGGAGCGTGCACCCTGTCTGCCATGACCTCTGGAATCCGTCGCAACTGGATTCAGGCCATCATGACGAATGTGCGGCCCACTATTGCCCCTGATGTCACTCGGTAATACCCAAAGAGGATTAACCCTTAAACCACTGGGAGATAAAACTACTGCTTTTTCTCACTCATTTTATTTAAAACCCTCTCTCCTCCTCACCCTCTCTTTCCCTTCTCTCTCCTCCCCCCCTTCAACCGGTATTTCCAACCTGCTTCCAGGAAAAACATCTCACTGAAACTGTCCGTTCTGAAGCCCAGGTTGGAGTGCTTGTGTGTTGAATATCTCCCCCTCCTCGAACAGTGATGTAATTGCTCGGCAATGTCAGTCCCAGCGTGTTTGTCGTCCCGCCCTATGTCATGTGATTGTTGAGTAACGTCTCCTTGTCAGTCGTGCCACTGTAGAGACACACACTTCAATCACATCAACATACAAGAATAACCTACCTGACCTTCTGTTGATCAACAGCAGAGCGTTTGATAATCCTTGTAGTGTGACGGTCCACTCGGTATCTTTGGAAGATTATCACAAAACGACAACAATATAGAGGAGATAGAAAAGGCCTTTAGTGAATAGGGAGAAGAGGGTCTATTTTTTTCTTGTAATTGCTCAAAAACTGTTCTCCTGAGGATATGTTTGTGTCTACCTAAGCATTTATGTTTGTGCTTTCAAAAGCCATGTATTGCTTTTCAGACGGCTCGTCACAAGACACTGAATACACACTATGACCCGCTTTCACAGATTTAAACATTCTGCCAGTGTATCTTAGGCAACTCTCTCCAAGCGGAGAATGTGTGTTATTTTTGGTATTTTTGCAAAGACGCCTCGGAGACACCTCTTTCTCATTCTTGAGCCCTGTCCCTTCTCATTTTCCCCTTACTCATACCTCCCTGACACCTCCACACACAACGTGGCAAAAATAGATTATTCCGTCAGGTCACTTTGCCCCTCAACACCACCAAGTGCCCATCAACACATTCTTAACATTAAGCCACTACTGTATACAAATAGCATTAGCATAGCAGCTAAAGGCGACGTCTGCCATCAGGCTTACCCCAGATCATGACTGTTAAAACCGAAGCTGCTTTCAGTCTGTTGCAGAGTGCCATATAAGCATTTTGTTGTTAATGGTTTGACTTTGAGGCATTTTACTGATTACCATGCTTTTAATGCACAATTTAATGATTACATTACATTACATTACATTGCATTTAGCTGACGCTTTTATCCAAAGCGACTTACAATAAGTACATTCGACCAGGAAGACACAACCTTGAAGAAAACAGAATCATATAATATAATCATAATGATGCTGCTCTGCAACGAATATATGCATTTTTGTCTGTCCGGCAAAGCTTTATATAAGTGTATTGGAGCTTGAGCTGATATATGTGTAAAATTCCTCATCTTTTTCTGGTAACATCCTCTTACGTATATTTTTCCTTTGTTCATACAGATCCCTCCCTGAAGAGAAGGCAAAAGCCAACGTGATGTTAGAGCCGTGTCCACAGTCCTCACCTGAGCTGAGCACAAGTCCTGAAGCCCCAAAGTCCTTCGTCCACACACAGACATCTGGAAGCAACGCCTCTGGCCCTCTCTCCGAGCAACGTAAAAGCCGAGTCCGTGAGCGCAGACGAGAGGGTCGCTCCAAGACTTTTGACTGGTCCGAGTTTAAAATGGAGCAGACAGAAAAGCGAGCAAAGGAGCGAGCGGATACAGTGGACCTCACTTCATCTTTCTCTACAACGTCCTCATTTTGCTCTACCTCCTCTTCGCCTTCCTCATTAGCGTCCTCTCCTATCTCTACCTCCTCCCTCCAAACCTCCTCTCTGTCAGGTGCTCACCCACCTTCTATGACCCCAGAAGCAGAAAAGGAGAGTGTTAGGAGGGGCGTCCTCCCACATGGCACAACCAGTGCCCCGCACATGCCAAATACTGTTACCGTCACTATGACTTCCACGCTTAACACGACATCACCAGTACCGCCATCGATACCTGAATGCCATGAGCAAGGAAAGATGGAAGTAGACCACCCAGCAGCGATGCATCCTGCTAGTGAAGATAAGAAGAAAAATAAAAACCCGGATGTCCATCAAGAGATCGAGCAGCGGTGGCATCAGGTGGAGACGACGCCGTTAAGAGAAGAGAAGCAAGTTGCCATCAACACAGCTTCAGGAAACTCTAGTAACTCTGACAGATTGCCGGCTGATGAGCTTGCTGTGCTGCTAGACAAAGAGGTGCGTTTCTTCACTATGGTCATATTTACATCTTAATGGTATTGGAGCATCTTGTCATTCATTGTTTCTTCAATTTCTTTCTTTTTGCCCAGTTGGGAGAGAAGCAGCAGGAGCTGGACCGACTGCAGAAGCAAAACAATGTTTTAAAAGAGCACCTGGAGGATGCACTTGGGAGGGAACACAGTGCCAGACAGGGCTATGTGCTGCAGGTACTACACTCACCATCCATACTGCAGGATCAGTATTGGTTTATCGACAACATGTACAAATAGCATTCCAACATTTATTAAGAGAAATCAATCCTGAGTCAAACGTGGCACAGTAAAAGTTTGAACCTGTATAGATTATATTTTTGTTATAAGGTATACTAGCTCATGATATATCAGATGTATTATGTATGGCTACTGTAACTTATATAATATTCTACTAACAGGTGTGGGTGCTTTTATCTCTGAAACTGATACGCATGGTTGAGGTGTTCTTAGCATGAGTTTTCATTAACTGTCTTTTACGGAGTTTCACATCTCCTGGGAAATAATTGATTTGATCCGATATGCTTGAGGTAAGAAACTTGATCAAGGAGCCTTGCGCTGTGCTTTTTCTCTCTTTGTCTGTGCACCCTTTCCAAGCTTGATTTCTGCATGCTTATTGGTGTTTCAGAATTGCATACTTTAACTGCTTTTTTACATTGTGCATTTTTAAGTTACTACTATTTGTCATAGAATCAGAATGTCGTTTTTTGTTGAATAAAGCTACTTAACTTTGCGAAAGTTAAGTAGGTGGTCTGCTTTTTATTTATTTGTTATAAATCATTATAGCAGTGACCCAGCAAGGTTTTTGTTTTTTTGGAAGGGGGGGGTTTCATTCGCACCTTTCCATTTTCAAGTCACCTCTGAAAAAGCACAGTGGAAGCTTGGGAAAAGCTTCAAAAGAAAGCTTCAAATCAAGAGAGGAAAACTTATTTTCCTGGTTCCCCCCGAGATGTGGTTCTCCGTATATGGTAGGTGAAATAAGGATGTCATTAATGAAATTGTTTCATCAATCTTTTTCAAGAGTGCAACATCCCCTTCCTCTTCACCGCAAAGAGTGCCGTGGCAGCGCCTGCACGCGCTTAATGAAGATTTGCAGGGCGAGTTGGAAACCCAAAAGCAAAAGCAGGATCTTGCTCAGCAGCAGATTCGGACACTAAAGAGAAGCTACACAGAAGCACAGGATGCGGTAGACCACCATGAGTCTGGTATTCAGGCTCTGCAGACTAAACTAGCATCTGCAATGGCTGAAATCTGGGCAAGTGAACAGGCTGTTGCCAGAATGCGCAATGAGCTCAAGCTAGAGCAGAAACGTTCAAAGGAACAAGAAGATGAATTTGGTCGCGGTGAGGCCACACTACGTGCCCAGCTAAAGGACAGTGAAGATAGACTCCGTGAAGTAGAAGCCAGCCTCTTGGAGAGAAACCAGGCCCTCAGGCACCTGGAGCGCCAGCAGGCCCTGCAACGAGACCATGTTAGAGAGATTCAACGGCTCCAGGAGCGGCTGCAAGAGGTCACTGCTAGGATAAATGTGACCGAAGAGGGTCAAGCACTAAAGGAAGAGCGCCTGAGGAAGGATCAGCATAGCCTGCAAGAGAGTCATGAGAAGGAAAGACAGAATCTGTGTAGAAAATTAGCTGAGGCTGAAACTGCACAGAAAGAGATGGAGGTCCGTGTGCTAGAGGCTGAGCAGCAGGTGGATGCCTTGTTAAGAGGCAGGCAGGCTTCTGGGGCAAAAGAAAGCAGGGAGGAAATGCTGAAGTTGCAAGAGGAACTGGCCCAGAAGACTGACATGGTGGAGTCACTAAGGGAGAGTGTGCGCAGGCTAGAAGAAGAGAAAGGCCATCTCACCTGCCGCTGTCAGGAGCTTCTTAACCAGATAGCAGAAGCAGACCGTGAGGTGAACAAGCTTCGCAATCGTCTCGAAACAGAAGAAGCTGATTACTACACCCTAGAGCACTCATATGAGAGGGCTACTCAAGAGTTTCAGAAAATGAGCCAGTTCCTACGAGAAAAAGAGGAGGAGATCCGGCAGACTAAGGAAATGTATGAGAGGCTGATGGTACGCAAGGAAGAGGATTTGAAAGAAGCCCTTATTAAAATGGCTGCACTTGGCAACAGCTTGGAGGAAACTGAACAGAAGTTGCAAGCTAAGGAGGAGCTTCTTTGTCATATGAGTCAAAATCTCTTGGATAAAGTTGAACCCTGTAGTGCTGAGAAGGATCTGCAGGCCAAGCTTGTTGTTGCAGAGGATCGCATAGCAGAACTTGAGCAGCATCTTAATGCCCTGCAGCTGGGCTATGCTGACCTACGTATGGAAAGGCAGCAAATCCCAGACAAGAGCAAGAAGGCAAGGCTTCAAACATCAGCCTCCTTAGCAGCAAACACAGATCTCTTACTTACCTATGACAATTCATCCAAGACGGAGAACTCCCAAGATGATAAGGAGTCTCAAGCTAAGAGACCAAGGATACGTTTTTCCACAATTCAGTGCCAGAAATACATAAGTCTCGAGGGCATGGACACTATCAATGCGAGCACTGCGTTTGCAGACACAACACAAAATGTAAACGAGGATGTTAAGGAAGATACCGATTTTAGTAAAGGGAACATCTCTGATATTACTTTCTCTCACAGTAGTGACCCAGAGAAGTTCATTTCTATCATACACGCCCTAGAGACTAAGCTGCTAGCCACAGAGGATACACTCAGAAACCTCACACAAAATGTAGGAGAGCAATCCAACCAAGCAGAAGATGCGTCTAAGGATGATCTAAAGATGACGGACACAAATCCTAACCCCAATAAGGAGTTTAGTAATGGAAGTGGGACACAGAGTAGTGCTGCCAATAAGCATTATGCCAAGGCCCTGTTGTGTGTGGAAAGCAGTCGAGAGAAAGTCAGGACTATTCTTAATGGCTCTCATGTTACCACCGGTTCACAGCTGCACTCATTGTCAGAGATAGAGAACCATTTGTTCAATGCATCACTGTTCATCAGACAAGGACAAACGACTGAGGAGCAATCACCAGTTGTCCATGCAAACACAACCCCAGAGACTCTAGATAAAGAAGCTTTGCACCTCTTTGCCAAAACGTTATCGTTTGAGGCGGTTGTTCTGAATAAAATGGCCTTGTTATTACAGACATCAAAGTCTGACCTCCTACAATCTCTTGCCGAGATATGGGAAGACTTGGAGAACATTCAAAGAGGTGACAAAGAATGCTTGGCTATAGTGTATGCTGATGTCTTGACCAGGAAGTTGATGTTAGAAAGTTCATTCTGGAAAGAATTGGAGAAAGCTGAGACGGATGTTGCTAAATCCAAAGAGGAAAGTGTTTCAGCTGATGTTGATTCCACAGTTATCTTTAACACTTTAATTAAAGCTGAGCTAGCCTACACTATTCAAAACCTTAAAATGTGCTATGAAGAGAAATTCAAAATACTGAAAAGGGAGATAACTGAGGCTCATGATAACCTGCATCAAAGGGAAATGGCCTTGAAAACAATTATTGAAGCTTCCAAAAGGCCTGATTTGATAAATGTAATAAAAGAAGTCAAAAATAACTTTGAGTTTGGTGAACAAAAGTTAGCAGACATTTCCCCCCCTGAACTAGCTCCCTACATGGAGCAAATTGAAATGGAAGAGGCTAGAGACTTGGCTGAGGAAGTCGTAGACAGACATTTGGCTAGAGAAATGCCATCTTGTGGTATTAATTCTATTGAATCGCTGCAACATGCACATGACAACTTGGCCACTGAGCTTCAAAGACAAGCAAAAATCCTCCATAAGTTTGCTCAAGAGATAGAAAATGGTGGAAACCATCCTAGACTGGCTAAAATGATCCACGGTCTTCTGGGCCACCAAACCTCACATGGTTTAACAAGTACCTCTGTCTGTATGCGCGACGCCCTAATCCAGGCTCAGGTAGCTTATGTGGCATGCAGGTTACAGGCCATGCATGAACAAGACTTGGGCTGGTGCAAACAGACAGGTCAAAACATGGATGCTCTTGTCCAACAGCACGCCCGAAAGGTCAACGCAATCCAAGAAAATTATGAAGCATCATTAAAGGAGGAGCGCCTGAATTTAACACAAGCAGTTTCCACTCTCAAGAAGGAGAACCATACGCTTAAGAGTGAGATCAGCAAACGTGTGAACCAGCTTTCACAGCAGCAGGACCAACTGGCTCTCCTGGAGGAACGTTTCCAGAAGGACACTGAAGAGCTAAAACAGAGGCATAAGCAAGAGCTAAGCCAAGCTGAGAAAGGCCGTGCCTCCACAGAGCTGGCCCTCATGGACACTACAGCTGACAGTCAGCAAAAGCTAGAAGTCCTGCTGGTGGACATGGAAACCATGGAGGGGCGGCACGAGGGTCACGTGAGGAAACTGGAAGAGCAGTTTGAACAGCGGATCTGTGAGCTCCAGCAAATCCACAAAGAGGAGATTGAAAAGTTACATTCCCAGTATATGGAAAACGTTCAATGTATCCAACAGCACAATAAAGGTCTTGAGGTTTCCCACTCGCCTCCTTGTGACGAGGCCCCTACACCAATGGATGAGGAGGAGCAGGGGAAGGGGGAGGATGCACATACCAGGTCAGAGGTGGACTCCATGCTGGTTCTGAAGGACCGGATCCAGGAGCTGGAGGCTCAGATGAGCACCATGAAGGACGAACTGGAGAACAAGCACCTAGAAGGAGATGTGGCCAGCCTGAGAGAGAAATACCAGAGAGACTTTGAGAGTCTTAAGGTTTTTGCTCTTTCATTATACTGTAGTGATTTTTTTTGGTTGTACATAAGTGAGTGTATTAGATTGAAGGTAAGATAGCATAATAACGAGCTGCTTTTGTCCATATCTACTAATATGCACAGAGCGATTGAATTGGCTTCTTTCGAGATTGTTTGTAAATCTCTGAATCTTGCATCATAGATGGCATCAGTTTGCTTACATCGCTAGAGCCATACTAGCTGCATGTTTCTAGGGTTTGTAAGGTTAGGCGCTTTTATCCACCCATTTGGCTACCCTGACTTTAGATTTACAGCCAATAGCCAGTCAAGAGTATCATCATTTTATTGTGATTGGTATGACATTTTCCACAGCCATCCATGGTACCCAGGTGATGAACCCGAATGACTGTGGTGACGCCCTGAATCATCCTGTTGTCTCATAAACGTTTGGATGAATTGTCAATTTGTCCAACACATCATTTTATGACCAAATACCTGCAAAACTAACTTGAAACTGCAGGCTTTAATGCTCTCTGTAGTTGGTGCAGAACTCATGGAAATACAAGTTTGGCATTATATAGACCAAACCGATGCACGTCAAAAGTGCTGGATCAGGGTGGGACATCCCTGGTAGTTTTACATAATAAAGCAAGGAAATATGTTGAAGGTTGTTTCTTCTTAAGTACAATCCTGAATATTAAAATTGTAACATGGCTCGATTGCCATAAACATTGCTTCTTGATTTGGGCATTAACAGACAAACTATTTCCTACATTCAATTATAGAAGGAGGTGCAGTCTATTAATGACAAATGCAGTCTATGATGGATTAAAATGTCACAGCTTTACCTCACTCTCTTACATAGCTGGGCTTCACATCATTAAAGCTTGCATGGATGCTATCACTGATTTTGCATGACACCATGTAGCCTAGTGAATGATTAATATTATATATAATATATATAAAAGGTATTGGACTTCATGAATAGTCACACATTAGATTATACTGTAGCTGGTAAATGCAAAGGTCATTTTGCAATAACATATTCTTTATCCGTTCTTCCTCTAGGCTACGTGTGAACGTGGCTTTGCAACAATGGAAGACACACACCACAAGGTAATAAATGACCTCCAGAGGCAGCATCAGAGGGAGATCGCAAAACTTATGGAAGAGAGAGAGAGACTTTTGGCTGAGGAGACTGCTGCCACAATTGCTGGTAATTAAACCGTTTTTTCACCCGTGATTTCTAAACTTTAAACAAAACCAGCGTACAATAATTAAATGTGATTCCTTTTTAAATGTAGCTATTGAAGCAATGAAGAATGCACACAAGGAGGAACTGAACAAGACCCATCGTTCCCAACTGAGCGGACTGAACGCTGACATTGATGAACTGCGCTTACAATACGAGTATGTTTTGAATACGAAAACTATTAAGATATTCCATGTTAAAGAGTTAAATATAAAAAAAATTAAATCTCTATTTAGGTTTTAGAGCCCTGAGGTTTAAACAAGTGTTTGTGTTAATAGTACTACTTCGGTGGATTTTTAGATAATCCTTATGTTGTTGCAGGATTGGCAATTATAAGAATTTGGCAGCTTGTCAGCGGCTGAAAAACTGGAGAAAATAAAAGCTTTTAAGGAAAATCCCTTTTTTATGATTAGGTCCACCTCATTCTAGACTTCTTTGGTCAACATCAAATGAGAACTGTGGTTAATATTGTGATGACGTGCCTGTCCAGGGAGGAGCTGCAGTCGATCCACAGAGAACTGGAGGTGCTGTCGGAGCAGTACTCTCAGAAATGTCTGGAGAACGCTCACCTGGCCCAGGCCCTGGAGGCCGAGAGGCAGGCCCTCAGGCAGTGTCAGAGAGAGAACCAGGAGCTCAATGCTCACAACCAGGTTGGATTGCACACATGCACATGTACCTATACAAATCATTTCTGTCCATGGATTTAAACTCAACTTTATTCTCTCCAACAGGAACTAAACAACCGACTGACTACAGAGATCACTCGGATGCGCTCCTGCTTCAGTGGAGAAACAGCAATGTCACCACTTACCCAGGGAAAAGATGTGTATGAACTTGAGGTATGTCTAAACACAAACAATGCACACATGCAGTAAGGATTGGAACTTTTGCCGTATGACCGTTCTGCCCATCTTGTAGGTGTTGCTACGAATTAAGGAGTCAGAGATCCAGTATCTTAAGCAGGAGATCCACTCTTTGAAAGATGAACTGCAGTCTGCTTTAAGGGTAAGCAAAACCAATCTTTAGATAGATTACATATTCATGTTTGTGTATTTTAGTAATGCTGCATTGATGACTTTTCAACAGGACAAGAAGTATGCCACAGAAAAATATAAAGACATCTACACAGAGCTCAGCATTGTGAAAGCAAAGGCTGACTGTGACATCAGCAAACTGAAGGAGAAGCTGCTCATTGCAACAGAAGCTTTAGGAGAGAGGAACGTCGATGGAACAGTCACACCTGGATACGGTAGATACGAAGTTTAACCTTATTTTACATCCCATTGGATTTACCAAAACATTTCTAACCATTTCTAAAGCTTGATAAATAATTTAGCCAGTCAGGGGGAAAATACTGTATTATAATTTTTCACGAGATAGGGAAATGTAAACAATGTTTAAATATACATTTTAAAATGGTGTGCATATACAGGACATGGTTAACTGTATCATGCTCCATGTAATTTATTATGATATATTTGGATTTGACATATCAAATCAAATCAAGTTTTATTTATATAGCACATTTTTAAAAGACACAATAAAAACACTTTACAATAAAAACACTTTACAACGACATAAAGGTGAAGCTCATTTTGAGGTCCGCATCATTAACCCTTAAATGCATGTTTTTCATTCCTATCCCTGTATAGAGAACCCCAGGTGCACTGAACCTCTATAAGGTTCATATTAAACTATTTTGGCTAAACTGTAGTGCTTTTTTTTTTAGATATCATGAAATCAAAAAGTAATCCAGAATTCCTGAAAAAGGAACGATCAAACGCCGCCAAGCAATCAAGAGGCCTAAGGTCAAAGGTAAGTGTCAAGTTCAATATAAAATGTCCCTTATTTACAGGCATCTGTCCCAAATTCAGTAAATCCACACACTTTTAAGCTGCCACTTGAGTTGCTGTGTATTGTAAAGTTGTTGTGTAGACTTCATCACTGTCAATCGTTCCACCACACACTGTGTTGCACAGTTGCTCAGGACATTTTTACTGAAAGTCTCTTGTCCTGTAAGTTTTGTCATCTTGTCTATTTTGTCTATCAGTCTGTCATTGAACAGGCATCATGGGACAGCTGACACTCCCATTGTGGGGTGATTCCCCCCAACCCCTGCCCCAAGATGTTCTGTAGGTATAGCATGATGTAGCCCAAAGCATGCCCCTACCACCCTCGCATGATCTCCCCTCCCTCCCCCTTAACCAACCCGCCGTATCACAGACCTTGAGCATTAGCAAGCTAGAAGTTTTTGAAAAACCTTTTTGATACTGCTCAAAATCAGGTGAATGTAAAGCTACAGCCTGCTGATTAGCTTAGCTTAGCATAATGACTGGGGGAAAGGGAAACCTCTGTAGCCAGGTGAAAACTAATATGCTGACAAACCCCTTTTAAAGCTCACAAATGAAAACATGATCTCACTTGTATAATTGGTACACACACTGAAGTTTAACATACACATCAAACAAAAAATCTAATTGTGCTAGGTAGTGAGCTTTAAAGGGGCATGTTGGCGGATTGTGTGTTGTTGTTTTTGGACCAAGCCAGTCTAGGGCCCTTTCTCATTTCTCTAACTCCCCTCCTCGACTCCCCTCCTCGATTCCTATCCTCGAGACTTAGTCCCGCCCACAGGAGATGCGAACGGAGGAGTCGAGGAGGGGAACCGAGGAGAGAGGAGGGGAAGCAGCAGGCGGTTAGAGAAATGAGAACTCCTCTCCTCTGAGCGGTCATTTTAAAGAGACGTCCATTAATGATGACAGGAGGCACTGCAGCCCTCTGTCTGATGGACACACACACACACACACACACACACACACACACACACACACACATATGTATATATTTATATAAATATATACAATTTCAGAATCAAACAGAGCACTCTCATAATAACGTAACACTATCAGAGACTGGATATATCCCCCCCCTCTCTGGTCGCTACAATGAGGGAAATAAATTACGGGCCAAACGTTTTATTTACAAGTATTAAAAGTAAGCAGAGGACACCAAACCAACTGAGACCTGGCTGTCCGCTGCATCTACGCACTGTACAACCAACCCAGTCTCACGGCATTTCGTGTTCACCAACACGATTTTTAATCTATTGATTCGTGTTCACCAACACGATTTGCCCCTTTTTTTCGTGTTGCAAAGCACGATTTTAAAAGCAATGTATTTCTACTGCCTGCAGCACGTCTTTTTCTCCGGTCGGGTCGTGGGAGACCGGAAGCTGTGTGGTTCATAAAAACATGTTCTTACTCAATATCAAGCCACAATTATTGCTTTTATTTTAAATCCTATAATTTAAATCCTATAATTTCGACTTTTGTTGCCGTCTGTCAGGAAAATAAATGGGGCTCAGAGCCTCAGAATACTGAAATCTGTATTTTTAAATATTTGTTTCCTTCTAATTCGTTATTCTTTTCAAAATAACACACTGTTATTTACTCACCAATAACACACAATTATCCTTGCTTTTATTTATTGGTTTAATTCCATAATCTCGGTCTTTTTTGGCGTCCGTCAGGAACTGAATTTCAAAATAAAAATAACCGGAAACAGACGTAGGCCTATAAGGGACATTTCGAGCATCATTGCAATTGTCAACATTTCTGAGTTTAGGATGGCCGAAGACACTACACTACCCATAATCCCCAGCTATCGTTTAGGACTACAGTCCCCGTAAGGTTACGCAGAGCGTCAAACAGCTGTGTGAAATGGAACGAAACCATGCCAGACTATCCAAAACTGGAATCGAACGCCCCCCAGAACTACACATGCTGGCTATTGTGTTTCGCAAAATGTTCTATGGGACGTCTCTACTGAACGTTTTCGTTTTTCCCACAATTAGAAGTTGCCAGTATTAAACACATTGGTGTTATCAAATGTAAAACATCTAATTAATAAATGGGTGAAAATCGCTTGTGTCCATAATGCGCAGCATTAATACCCACATGACAGCTCATTGTTACTTTGTAATTCTACTCCACTACAATTCAGAAGTTAACCTGGTATTTTTACTCCACTGCATTTATTTTAGTTACTTTGCAGATTCTGATTAATTATGTGAAATATAAACAACCCTTAAATCAGACTTTAGTTACACCTGAGTAAAATTCAGGTAAGGTGATTGTCAAGTGCCAACAATCAGGAGAGATATTTGATAGTTGGTGCTTGAGAAGACTAAACATGTATCTGCAATTGACATGAATGGAAACGAGTAATAAAGTATATTCATTACTCGTTATTCTCTACTAATAGTTCATTAAAGACTGTATATTATGACTATTTTGCACATCCCTTTCAAGATGTTCAAAGGTGTATTGACATATCATATACACAACTACGGTGTAGTTATGCAATGAATGAAACACTTGGGTCACAGGTTCCTCAACAGTGCATTGCAAGACATCTATCAATATGTGTGTACCTCCACCATTAAACTGTCATATTCTGCACATTTCTTATTCTATCTACATACATAAGAGTATAATTCATATGTATAATATCAGTTAAAATAAGTGCTTCAACATAGTTAACATTGCAGGAAAGCAATATATTAGACGTTAAGTACTTTGTCAAGCTTAATATTTATCTGTAGATAGATACTCCCAAAGTTTTTTTCTTATTTAAAAGAAGACCTTAATCTGTTATTTAATGTTTAAATAAAGGTTCATTCGTTTTTCTGTTTTGCACCTCCTCCTATTAATATCTTTGTACATTCTGCACTAAACTGTTTTATTGTAGAGATCACTTATAGTATCTTCTTGATTTTTTATATTATATATTTATACTTTCCCCCTATGAAAGTATGTACTCTTAATATTTTTTTAATCAAATAAAACACAATAATTCAATAACGTGCTTTAACCACTAGGAGGTGCACACAAGGTACACACAGCCATAATAACTTTGTATTATTAGTGTAGGACACTTTTGTTTTCGTACAACATCTGAAGATGTGTAGTTTTATGCATGCTTTCACATAATTTTACAGCATATTGCTATACTATTTCAGACTCAGTATTTACATTCTTACATTCAAAGAAAATCAGTAATATCTTTAAAAACTACAGTCCTTTTATATCAGCTGTGCACCGTTATGGTGTAAATATAACTGTGAATCTGTGAATTAGATCAAATGTAAAAGTCAGCCGAATTAGTGTTGATACTGCAAGGAGACGTATTGTCTGAAGAGAAATTGAAGATGTTGTTTAATTGTTGAATATATTTATGATCCACGTCAAGTATTCAGTTTCGGCGGCATTTTCTCAGTTTTTCCAAAGGTCTTCTCATCAGGGCTCTATAAATAAAGAACTACGGCAGATCTGTAATATACAATGCAGCCGAACCGTGTATTACAATGCCGTTATGTGATGACTTTCAAAGAGAAAAGCAAGAGCGCTCGGAATTAAGTATTATTTTATTATTTTAAAATGTTTTCCGGATTTCATATCATATAAACACCAAATCCCAGCATGCATTGCGGCTAAAACATCCAATAAGCGATCTTAAAACCATAGCTGAGGATCTTGGGTAATCGCTCGAAATGCCTACGTCTGTTTCCGGTTATTTTTATTTTGAAATTCAGTTCCTGACGGACGCCAAAAAAGCCCGAGATTATGGAATTAAACCAATAAATAAAAGCAAGGATAATTGTGTGTTATTGGTGAGTAAATAACAGTGTGTTATTTGAAAAGAATAACAAATTAGAAGGAAAAAAAGATTTAAAAAATACAGATTTCAGTATCCTGAGGCTCTGAGCCCCATTTATTTTCCTCACAGACGGCAACAAAAGTCCGAAATTATACGATTTCAAATAAAAGCAATAACTGTGGCTTGATATTGAGTAAGAACATGTTTTTATGAACCACACAGCTTCCGGTCTTCCTCGACCGGAGAAAAAGACGTGCTGCAGGCAGTAGAAATACATTGCTTTTAAAATCGTGCTGTGTAACACGAAAAAAAGGGGCAAATCGTGTTGGTGAACACGAATCAATAGATTAAAAATCGTGTTGGTGAACACGAAATGCCGTGAGACTGGGTTGGTACAACACACACACACACACACCTACACACTGTACTACACGCACCTACAGCTCCTAAAGCATAATCAGGCTACAGCCGTTGTGTATTTTATTATGTGAAGCACTAAACTCTTTGTTTGTAGATATCTACTAAACTAAAGCAAATACAGAGAGTAGTGTAGGCCTGTTACTGATATATTTTACACACTGCTCTGCTTTCTGCACGGATCTCACAGCTGTTCTTCTGTAAACATCGTGTTGCGAACGATGAGAGCAGTTAATAAAATAATATCCAGGGGATGCATGCAGAGCTGTCATTGGCTGAGATAAGTCCGGCCGTGCGTCACGACGCTTTGAAACATCTCTGTTCCCAGAAATGCATCCACGAAGGAGCCGTGGAGGACCCATCAGTGTATCCTCGGTTAGAGCTCCTCCAGAGAGCCTCCTCGACGCTCGATCCTCGGTCCTCGAAGTGCATTTAGAGAAATTAGATGTCCTTCAACATGGCGTGCTAAAATTCATTTCCGGGTCACTACCAGAGGAGTCGAGGAGGGGGATTTGATGAAATGAGAAAGGGCCTAGGTGTCACTTTATAAATCGAACTATTAAGGATATAGAGTTTTAGGTTACATATATATTGTATTTAATGATGTAACCTGTGTATTTACTGTCAAACTGACACTTTTATTGTGAAAACCTTGTCTGTAATTGTTGTCTATGTCTGTTTGTGAGTTTTGAATGTATGTGTGCATTGTGTGCACTCTGTGTGGAGTGAACCTATTCCAGCATAACCACTTTTTTTCGTAGATCGCACATTAAAATATAGTGTGCTGTCCATATCAGAAAAAGTTGACAAACACAACTGTTTTGTGATGTCTGTGCATGTGTCTTGTTTTCTGCACACATGCGTTTGTCAACTATGAAGAATAAAATAACCTTCTTTTCTCTTCTTCTACAGAGCCTGAAAGAGGGACTTACGGTGCAGGAGCGTATGAAGCTTTTTGAGGCAAAAGATTCCAAAAAGATTTAAATTTTTAAGAATTTGCAGTTTCAGTTTTTCTTCCTGACCTCAGTTTTCGGTCAGATGGTACGGCCATGCCAGCATTTGCTGAAGACTTGTATAGGAAATGGAAAAAAATCTGTAATGGTCAAAACCAAGACCTGCTGCTTCCATCCCTCTTATTAGTGGTCATATTTTTGTTAGATTTTTTTTTAGGTGAAACACTTTCATTGAATCAATCCTGTGTAATTTTTCTTTTTAAGAATCCATAGACGTATAATCTGTCCAACATGGAGATGTGTCAAATAAGCTGTGAGAGGAATACATGACAGCCTTTTTATTGATCCTCTATAATGCCAAAACGACAGCAATACACAGTATAAATAATATATATTTCCCAATATGAATTAAGTATCTGCTGTATTTTATTATTGTTACAGTTTCTATATCTAATAATTTTGTATGTGTTTAATGTTGCACCAGTTCTGTTGTACATAACTACTGGATATATGTTAGAGTAAGGTTTGCTATTGATTGTTGGGGCATCTGCTGTACTATAACTATGGTTTGATTGATAGTGGAAAACAATGTGATGCTAACTTGCTAATGTATGAGAGTTTTATAAAAATTGAGTGTCTGTGTGTGAAGGGGGATATAGAGGGGTGGGATTGCACTTATCACTTGACTACTTGAGGGAGCTTTGTTTTATTTGTCTCAAACTGGTGTAGTGACTTCAAGTCATTTATTGCAGTGCAACCAAACACCCTAACTTCTGTCAAATTTAGTGGAAAACCGTGACTGGACTTTTTTTTCTTTGAACCTGGATTTGTGTTTGCTCAGTTTTGATTAGCGTGACAATATCATCTCAGAAAACAGGAACTGTTTAGGACGTTGCATGACTGTACAGTACCTTTTTGAATTGCAGAATGGTCATGTTGCCTCTTTTTCCTACTTTTTTGCTTCAGTGTGGAACTCTTTAACACTACTAAGCTTTGCTTTGCAAGTCCTACTGTTTAGGTGTTGAGATTGAAATGTTTTACTGTAAGCGGCAGTCTTGAAGCACTCGGCCCAATCCCTGACCTCTCACTGAAATCTAGTCGTGCCTCAACTGAGTGAAGAATATAAACATCCATGAAACCTGTGCAGCTATGGATACACACTGTATAGTATTCAAACCATGCCTTGTATATATATATATGCTACACGGAAGACTTCTGTGTGTTGTTTAAAACTTGGACCTTGCTCACTAGCTCTATATTAAATATATATGAATATTTTTTATTTTCATTTGAATGTATAACGTCAAATAAATGAAGTGTTTGGAAGTTTTGGAGTTATATCTTTATTTTTTAGACAGTCAACTGTCATAGATTTAGCATTTTTTCCAACACAACAGTAATGTTAAAGCAATAGAACAAATGAATATATTTTTATTTTTAATGCTAGCTTTTATGGTATAAAATGACCTTTTAATCCTTTTTTTGTTTAAACAGATTGGTTCAGCCTACAGAATGCTTGAAATGTAAAATGGACTTAACTGCCCTTACAGTGAATTTTCTTGCTACATATTTCTCCTTTTTCTCATGAGAAAATACATAAAACAAAACACGTTTAAGAACATTTCATAAAAACAGCGCACACAAAACTTTAAAAACCAAAAAAAAGAGGTAATTACAGTGAAATTATAGAACTTTCCAAGTCCTCACTTTTTATGTGGAAACCAACTTCATATATCAAGACTTAATGCACACTATTATTAACAGACTATTATAATCTTCTCCGGAAAGTACCCTGCTGTGAGCATGTTCCACTTTTTACTAGGCAGCAATGATGTCAACAAGAAGTGAGCCACACAACTAAATGAAAACAAAACGTTTAACTCGAGTAACAACAAATTGCCATATTATGTTGGATTGCATCAATGCATCAGACTGTGAACATTGAATTAGGGATAGGTTGAATATGTAGCATTCGTTCTAGCCAATTAGACGTGCCATATCATGTTCTCCACCTCCTTCTCCCTCCTCCTCCTCTTTGTCCTTCAAAGCATCGACCAGTCTGACCCAGAAGGTGTCCTGCTCCTGTGGTTCCTCCGGCCACAGCAGGTAGGTCTTCTTGCGAACAATCTTGCATAAACGTGTGTAGGGAGACAAGCAGCGTTCAGGTATCTCCTCCAGAAACACCAGCAGCAGGACGTCACTGCCATCGTATAAAAGCCTCAGACTGGCCAGCTGAAACTCCACGGAGCACCACTCGCTTTGCAGGAAATTACGCGTCACCACACAGATGGTGTGGCGAGAACCGTAAATGGCGGCCTCGATGTTCTCCAGGACAGCAGCGCCGGGTCGGAAGTCTCTGTGGTGGAGGCACAGTCGGAGGGGGGGTGCACCTGCAGCAGGCCTCTCCAGGTTGGGAACCAGCTGCTTCATCACCCATGCCTCATCCTTAGAGCTGTAGGAGATGAATGCATCATACTGGAATTTGGCACTTCTACGTCCACGTAGTTTGGCCCTGAGGACGAGCAGCAGGTAGCGCACAGTGGGGCCCTGTGTGTGCCAGGCCAGACACACACATAGAAACAAAATGTCCACAACAGAGCAGGCGATGAAGAGGATGAAGGAAACATATTCAAAGGAGCAAGCCTTTTCGTCAAACTGCCAAAGAAAGGGAGATTTCCTTTCCTTGTCACACCGAAGGTCGTACAGGAAGGACACCTACAAGGGGAACACAATAAAATAAATCTACAGCTTATTAATACTTTTTTGAGAATGTCAGCAGCTTCTTTTACCCTTGTTTGAGTGTTGTGGATGGCCCAGTTCTTGAACCAGGCATTATCACAGTTACAGCTGATCGGGTTATCTGAAATGTCCAATACAAGCAATCTGGAAACACACGGGTAAACACAAAGTTTGACAGTTTTATTAAATTCGAATTTACCCCAAGTACCTCTCCGCCTAGCCTATAAGTGAACACAGTAGCAGTTCCTACATTAAAATGGTTTGCTTACACACTTGCATGTTTAAAACCCTTACTGTATTGAATTTGTTTTGGTAGAAAGCTATCATGCAGATAGGTTTGTTATGTCTGGACATACTAGTCCTTTCAAATCAATAAAACAACTATGAAAAATCTCATTTGAAAAGCATATATATCTATCAGATTTGCCTTCAGACTGAATGAGCCATCCTCGCTCCAACTCTTGGCAAGAATACAAATAAGGGTTATGTTACAAATGTTTAAATATCCTTTCATGAGTTGCTTGCATTGACATTTTATTATCTCATCACCTTGGCAGAGCATCCAGCATGTTTTTGTCCACAGTGTGAAGGTGGTTTGACCAAACTTTGATATACTCCAGTGAGTTATCTGGAGGCAGCAGGTTAGCGGGGAGAACATCGAGGTCTGCTCTGAGGGTCAGTTGTTTCAGACTTTTCAGAGGGGAGAATGCTGCGCTCAGGTTGGTCTTTTTCATAGCCACTCCGACTATGAACAAGTTTTGCAAATTGATCAGAGGAACAAAGGCGTCCGGGTGGAATTCTAACATTCTGCTTTGTCCAATCTTGAATGCGAGAAGTCGGCTTTGACCTTTGAAGAAATTTGGTCCAATGACACCAATGCATTCACGTCCGGGCCCCTGGTACCGCATGTCCAGAAACTAAAGATTTGACATGGAAGTTAGACGGATAAAGAGATCATCAGATTGAACAATAAACACTCTTAATATATTACTCTTGAATAAAATGTCATACCTCAAGGGAAGTAAGGTTGATGAAAGGGGCTTCATTGTGCTTAAAATGGAGGCGGTTGTTGTACAAAACCATTTTCCTCAAATTTGTCAGGCCAGACAGAATATCTGTTGACAGCATCTTTATGCGGTTCCCATTTAAGCTCAAAGATCTAAAGTACAGATGGATGTGTTACATGAGTGGACAGTGAGGAAAGTTAAGAGAAGTTGAACACAAAAGCAAACTCCTTACCTGAGGTTGATAAGGTCTTCAAAGGTGTGGTGTTTGATGAAAATAATGATGTTCGAGCTGAGGTTGAGCTTTATTAGCCTCCGCAACTTACTGAAGGGCTTATTGATGATGTATTTCAGCATGTTGAACTGCAGGTAGAGCTCCTCAAGTTTATTAAGTTTGCTGAATACATTCTTTCTCAACCAACTGATATCATTTTTAATAAGAGACAGGCGAGTCAGCTTCTTCAGAGCGACAAACCAGTTGGGGTCAATGTCACGAACTCTGCAGCTGTCCACGCCTAAACTCGTAAGGTGGTTCAGTCCTAGGAATGTATCTCGCTGAATGTCGGGTGCATTTCTATTTAGCTGCAGTGTTCTCAGTCCTGGGTAACCATCAAATGTAGTACGAGATATCTGCTTCAAACCACAGTTGTTTAGGTAAAGTTTGCTCGTATTACCCCTGCCCAATGATAACTGGGTAACATGTTCGAGGTTTGCATTATTAATTACCACCATACTTGGAGTGTTACAGTCCATGAGGCTGGAGTTTGTCTCTGGTAACCTGGATCTTTTCAAGTCGACCTGCATTCATTTAAATGTACACAATGTTTTTTTAAAGACATTAAACAAATATGTAGATTTTTCATTAGAATCAAGAGCACAAACCTCAACTCTATCAAGCTGTTCCATTCCTTTCAGCAGCCTGCATATGGTCAATGGAGATTCTTCCAAAGACAGAGAAAATGAGACCCAAGAGAGATTCCTTTTTGTCTCTGCCGAGAGTCCCATCAGCACTTCGGCTTTTACTCCCTCGCAAAGCAGATTTTTCAGCCCGGGGTTGGAGGCAAAAACGTCAGACTGTAGCTCCAGCTTTGGGTTGAAGGACAGAGTGATGTGCTGCAGGGCAGGAAAACAGCTCAGATTTATCATCCGGATGCTGTTTGAGAAAAGATCAAGACGCTGAAGAGTAGAAGATCCACCAGAGTCTCCACAGCTGAGACTCTGGAGAATGTTATTGGACAGATCGACATGTTGAATCGCTGGTAGGGAGTTAAAGATAACCGGAGAGATTGTGCCAAGTTTGTTTCGATTCAGAAGCAGGGTTTGTAGCATACTTAGCCCATCAAAGCTACTAGAGTTGATGTGTGAGATGTTGTTTCTGGTAAGGTTGAGTAATTTCAGGACACCCAGGCCTCTGAATGCTCCTCCTTTCAGATAGGCCAGCTTGTTCTGGCTCATGTCCAGGTATTTAAGCCCAGACAGATGACTCCATGATCCAGGTGGGATGACAATGATCTTGTTCTTGGACAGGTTTAGTTTGGTTGTGTTATCTGGGATCTTGCTCAGGACGTCAGTGAGGTTAGCTATGTTCTGGTTGCGGCACCACATGTTGCCAGTCCCGGGGTAGAACATGAAGCAGCTTTTAAAGCCAAAACCACAGCAGCCCGAGGTGTTGAGCAGCAGAAGGAAGAGGGCAGTTCGCACCATCTTTCCCTGAAGGCTCTGTTTGCTGACTGCAACAAGGATGTGAAATATAAAAAATATTAGTTCATAAATGCGTCATGGGTTAAACAAACCATAATCTCATAATCTTTGCTTGTTGGGGACAACGAAATGCGCTCTCTTAAATACGAGTGGATTTAATCAATTAATGTTCTTTACATTTTGAGAAATCATAAAAAAAAATTGTAATATGTAAGTTCTTGATTTGTGTTTGTTTTTTTTTGCTGCAACAGCCAAGTAATTGGCAAATATTATTAAAATCGATAAATCTATAAATACATGTTGCATGAAACATGTGGAAAAATGCTGATTTTTAGCCCCTCAAGTTTGGAGATTTCCCGATTGACTTTCTTAATTGTAGAAGGGTAAGGGTTTTTGGACTGATAAAACAAGACATTTAAAGACAAATACTTGACATTGAGAAACTGGAATGGCAGAAAGGTTTTCATGAAAATAATTAATATTTGTAGCCCGAACTATAGGCATTTTACCGTGACATTATTTTTTCATAAAAAATATGCCCTTCATTTCTGTATGGGGGAGAAAACACTAATATTCATGTGACACTTTAAAGTTCAATCTAAAATACCTTTTTACTTCTATTACTTTGTTGTTCTTCTTACTTAGAGTACAGGGTTACTTCTTCTTACTATCTTAATATGTAAATAAACTTTGATTTCCTTCAAAATGTAATAATATACAGCATGTTGCAGCCTAAACAATTAGAAAATGTAAACGTACCCTTGTCGTTCTTCTTATGCTGCTTTACTTTACCTAACTGCACTTCCTATTTTAACTGGCTTCAGTTCTCTTTGCATCTCTAAATAAACCCTAATCATTTTGAGGAAGGATGTTATTGTTTAGATATGTGTATACCACAGTCTATGTGTATACCCAGCATTTTCACACATCTAGGTTGTGAAATGGTGAGTCATTGTAGATATTATTTAAAGATATACTGATTATTCTGTCTTTGTTTCATATTAACTAAGAAAAGGCTTTAAATCATGTTTTCCACAAGAGGGAGCTATCTACCTGGATCCTGCATCTAGTGAAGGCACATCAAACATGGTGCGTCAATACTTTAAATGTATAAAATGTCCATATTGGCATTTAGCAAAAACCCTTAAACCAGTCAGAGACACTGTGCCAGCATTTAGATTGTAATTGTTTTGGGAAGACTTACCTTTTAAGAGACCCTAAGTGATACTAAACTGTTCTGTTGTGTCACCTTTACCCACAACTACTGTACAACTTCAGATAAGTAGGCAAATGAAAACAAAACATTAACTTTATTATTTGGTGAGAATAAAGATAATTGTTAAATCGAATTGCCCGTGGGCGTTTTGTCGTCCTATGTGATGCTTGAATATTTTTAATACATATATGCATGACGTAAATTACTTTTTGGTACTATTTGTTAGGAAAATGGCTTTGTTTTTATAGAATATAGCCAGTAAAATTACAAACAGATTTAATTCAAGACATTCAACCAATATAAAAACTCAATAGATAACTGTTCGATGAGACAGGCATGTTGACCTCTTCATGCTGAACATCCACCGTGGGCTCCTCTGGTCCTGGCGGCTGACCTTTGCCTCTGTGCAGTGGGTGTGAGGGCGGGGAAGGGGCCAGTGGACGTGGGTCAGCCCTGGGGGCGACAGGTAGTCCGCCGTTTAGTCCGCGTGGAGCTTGGCCCAGGGGCCCTGACCTTTCCAACGAGGCTCCTTGATCCACGAGCAGAGGCACAGGTGACCCCACTGATGGAGATTTAGCTAAAGGAGCTGCTTCACCTTTAGCACACAGGCTGAGCTGCCAGTATGAGTCTGTTAGTCTCTTATTTAGACTTTAAACGATCGTGATGACAGCCTTATAGTCAAATAAATAAGGTTAAAATAGCCTATACATTTATACAATGTACTCCATTCCCATTTTTCCTTTATTTGTTCATAAGAAATAATGAAACCCTTTGTTTTTTTACTTATTTTATTCAAAGAAATACAGTGTGTATAATACAATTTAGTGTCATGAAGTGAAATAATGGAGTCCAACATGACATCATCCATATAAAAAACATTTACCCTTTTTAACATTTTACTTACATTTATTATATTACAATATTTACACATTCATTCAAAGAATTGTCTCTCAGAGTGATTTTCATGCACTTAACAGTTCATGGAAGTTACTGTTAAGTGCTGACATTACCTCAAAATATTTTTTAGGATAATCTTATTGTAACAATCAATGTAGTGCATTTTGTAAGACTTCTTTTCAAAATTCATTCCCGATTTGTCTTATAAGGTGCAACATGTTTGAGGTCTTTTTGACGTTAAACTGAGGATAAGTGGCAGTCCTTTTCAAAGCCAGTGAAATGTGAAGGCATGCCAGTAATAAATGGCATTTAAACATCTGTATTCGAGTCACTTATAATACAGTCAGAGGATCAATAGTTCAATTGTCAGTAGCCGTCAAAGGGCTCGGAGGATGGGCTTCTAGTCGCTGTATAGACAGGGGCCTCTTTGGGGTTTTGGCGGAGGAAGGGATATCGGTGAACACCACTGATCGTCCGTCGGGGCAAAGCAATACGCTGGAGTCCGCCTCACACTTGGTGGTTCTGCTCGGCCACAAAGCCTCAGCAGAACTGGGCCTCATGCCGAGACCACCGGGAGAGAGATCCTCTGAGTTCACTGCCGACGCCTGACTCATCTTGATCAGCATGTCCAAAGACTGCTTACGACTCTCCAGCGACGCCTTCATCGCCTTCCTCTCATTCTCTTCTTCCTCCTTTTTCTCTTCCATTTCCTCATCCTCCTCTTCTGTCTCTGTGGCGTTGTCTTTACCGTCCTCTCTTGTGCTGCGATCTCCAACCACATCCGTCTGGTGCCTCTTCACCGACAGGTCGAGGGGTCCGTCGCTCTGGCGAGAAGACCTCTCCAGAGCCGTGTGGATGTGGGAAAGCTCGCTGCGTATTTTTCCCAGGTGTTCCCAGAGGTGACGCTGGGCGGGAATGTCCTCTTTCTCCAGGTGGGAGATCTTGCGCTCAGCCTCCTGGTACTCCTGCAAGGCCTTGGAGAGGTCACTGAGGAGCGCAGCCACAGACTCTGAAGCCCCCTCCCCTATTGTTCTAGCAGCATTCGGGTCCTGTCTGTTGGGACCCCCACAGGTAGACTGAGAGGATGTTTCACTGCTGGGACTGGTGAGATGTTCGCTGTACCACAGATCAGTATGCCGGGTCGGCAGCTGAGCATCCTGTAAACTGAGGATACGAAAGGTTTAGGACTTTTGCATTTTTAGATATGTAACATTTAAAACTACAAATCAACCATTTGCGTTATTGACTTTAGATAATGATGGATAAAAGTGACATTTGTACTGCGACTTGATAAAATAAGGAAATTGTATTGACTTGAAATCCTTACCTTCCATGGAAGAGAAGTTTGTCTGCTGTCATGTTCAGATTTGATGCAGTCTGAATATTCTTCAGAAGGTCCAAAGCAAAACCACCCATGTTCGGCTTCTTCTCCACAGGTGCCTCATGGTTCCCAATTGGGACCCCTGTCCTTTTGAGGCACCAATTTGCTTTGCCCTCCTTGGCTGTAGCCTGCAGTTTATCGGCCAACCTGTACCCGTGTTCGTGGGAGTCCCTCTGAGGCGACACCCAGCCAGCAGGGGAGACAGCGGCTGTCCCTGGCCGCAGAGCAGGCACTTTCCACAGATTTACTTTAGGCTGAAAACCAGACGAGGGACTCGCTTCTAGACTGTTTGTGGACGTCTTGAGCGCTTTGCTGGCGTCGCTTTGACCCAAGACCGGTCCGAACGCGTGCTCACACAGGAAGGGGTAGTAGAGGCGAGGGGGGATAAGAGCTCTGTCTGTGTGGGTGCTCGAGGCCGGGTGCATCAGCTGAGCGGCCGACGCCAGGAAGGGAAGCTGGGCGAGCTGAGCGTGGGTCTGGGCGGCGGTGGCGGCAGCGGGAATAGCGGAGTTCATGTAGGAGAAGAGGCTGGGGGTGATCGGGTAACCCATCCCGAGCAATGACAGGTTGAGTCCAGTGGGATCCTGGTAATCCATCAGGTTTGGCGGAGGAGGGTAACAGGGGATTGAACTACCTTCCCCTTTGGCCTTCGTTTGGCTGGACGCCAACAGCCGCCACTGCTCCGACAGCAGACTGGGAGCAGTCAGATATGCCTTGGATAGCTTGTAGTGTTTCAGCTGGGCTTCTACTTCTACTGAGCGCGCTCTTAAAAGCTGATCTTCCAGGGAGAGCATGTCGGCCATCAGAAGCTCAGACTCTGGCTGTTTGATTTTCTTGGTAGTGCACTCTGCAGCGTCTCCTCTCTCTTTCCTCAACCCAGTGACCTCTAATCGCTCTCCTCGTCCTCCTTCTTCCTCATCTTCTGCTCCCTGGCTTTCCCTGTCCTCACCTTCCTCCTCCAAGGACTTTCGTTCCTCAGTGTGTGTCATTTCTATGCCATTTTTGCCATGTGCCTGCTGAAGGGGTCGTAGCTGTTCTGGGTGCAGGATGTTGCCCTTTTTATACGGCCAGTCGGACTCTATGAGCAGGGACAGGGAGTTCTTGCACAGGCTGTACTTCATGTGGTTGTACAGGTGGGACTTCTCCATGCAGGTGAACGGGCACTGGAAGCATTTGTAGTTGTATGGTTTGCCCCATGGCCGGGGAATGTAGTGAGGCTTCTTAGGCTTGCGTTCCTTGTGTTTGCTGATGGACGTCACTTTACAAGCGTCGTCCTTGGACATGATTGAGTCTTGATTTTTTAAAGATTAAATTGTAATAAAATGGTGATGATTCAAGACAGATTTTACGATTGTATGTCTTTCGTGCCAGGGTTCATTTCATTGTTTATCCTTCTGTTGGGTCGATGAAAAAGAGCATTTCTTGAACCTGCGAACACATAAGACAGTTTTGTATGAATAAAATGATATTTCAAAAACATCAGCAGATCAGAAGCACCAAAATAACATGTTAACCTATGTATTTGTTCTGAGAAAAAGGAACAGCTTGCAGGAATGCAGATTTGTAAGGAATATAAATATCCACAATAAAGTTATTTGTGCACTGAAGGGTGCTATATATCATTATGCACATATGTGTATTAAGAGAGCACATTTGTTGTCTGCCTGCGCTGAGCGTTGCCACTAACCTAACTGCAGGGAGGCCTAGCTGCTCCGTTCTCACTGTACCTGCCACTACTCATTAGTTCCAGTGCAGCACCAGGCGCTAGCAGGGTACGGGGCTGGGGGGCAAAACAGGGGGTCTCTGCACCTGTGCGTCGGGCCCTCAAAACACTAACAGGCGCGCTTGAGCTTAAGGCCGGACCCTCGGAGGCCGGCTACAGGCGCAGTGTGGCCAGGCTGAGGGGCTGCAGGTATGGAGGGGAGAGGAGTCGGGGGTTTGAGGCCTGGTTCCTAATGAGAGCCTGGCGTCGTGCCTAAAGGGCGTCATTAGTGCCAGGACGGGGATCTGGGTCAGGACACGGTGCACAAGTTCAACTGCTCTCCTGTACTCTGCATGTAAAGTTGGGTCATACTTTATTATACTCAATTAGCTATATTAAAATGTTTTATAAGAGAATACCATTTAATTATAAGATATAGATTGTAGACAACTTCAATTTTAAAACATTAGTTATTGTGATTGTAACTATTTTAAAAGTTGTTGTGTCGTACAAGCAGCGATACATCTAATGCAGACATTCTCCATTTATTCTTTTAATTAAATTCTTTTATTTTGTCTTTCTTCCATCTTTGAAATGTAAAGCAAACAGCTTGTTCATCTGAAATTCAGAGATTTAAACAAAGCGAGTATTTGTACCTTAAGATTGATTCATGTTAAGTGTTCGCTGGCTCTCTTTATTTTATATATTACTTTATTTAGGATCCTCTTAAAGGACATTAAAAGATCATATTTTTGACAATCTACAATATCAATAAAACTAAATTAAGTACATACATAACAGAAAGTCTCACACTCATAATCTCTCTTTTCATAACTTCTCTCCTTCGTCATCTATTGGCATTCTTTTAATTCATTTCTCACCCCCTAAAATACATTTTAATAAATGTGTTTTCATCTGTTAGATTACAGAAACTTTGTGATCTTTTTATACTTTAAGCCAGGCTGTTGGGTAAACCCTGCGGTGAAAAAGATGTGAGGAGGAGTGTGCTCCTCACTTTAAAACACTCTTTCTCTGAGGCTCTTATTTTGTCTTTTTTTCCCCCAGGTCATTTAAAGATGAAAGTCTGTGTGACGTTCAGGGTCCAAACTGAAGTAAAGATAAACTCATGGCTCATGACAAAGTTTTGATATAAAGACCAGTGAAGCAAACACAGGTGATGGATGCTCTGTGATATTGAGAGACAGCAGACAAGCTCATCTATAAAGCCGCAGCACGCAGGCTGATGATGGAAGACACCGTGAGACTAACTCAGGATGGCAGGCGGTTACAAACTGCTCTCCCAATTGGACCCTAAGAATTGGCCCGTTTTGTGGCTGACCATTTGATTGGCTCACTTGTCCGCCCCGGGGCTCTGACCTGAGCTTTGAGCTCATAATGGGGCCTAACAGCTGCTGCTGCATCCAATCAATAAAAATCATTTGTACAGTAGTTGTTGCCCCTCTCCTGGCCACTGCTATCCGCTCGCCTCTCCACTGAATGTGCACTTTGGCCCCCCGCCGCCCCATATCCAAACCCTGCGGTCTTGTTTTAAGCTTTTAGGGCTGATCAAACAAGCCTAACCGCTTCAACATCTATTGTTCCAATCAAAGAGGTTCACCACACTAAAAGCTTTGACATGCAACAGCAACCACACCACTGACCGCCTATGGGACGGGCTGTTTGTACAATAAGTAAATGCATGACTCAAACTGAAATAGTTTTTAAAGCTTTAAATGCATACTTTAAGTTATAGTCTTTACCTTGAAGGGTTGTCAGAGTGATGAGTTGGTTGTCTGGAAAAGAAGAAAGATTACAAAATTGTCATAAATCATATGAATCTCAGTTTCTTTTTCAATATAATAACAACTGTTGTGATCAATTTAACAATTACAATTAAACTTTTTTTTAAAAATCATATTTTTAAACACAATAAATTAAATAATTGTATTAATAGACACATATTATTAAGGGAAATGTATATTTGATAGGAAAACCTCACATGATGCTGCAGATATTTAATGAATTTATACTTCAAAGGTTTTAATCATTCTTTTTCAACAGTAAATGCATTAAAATAACATTTTATAATCATTGTTTTATTATTTCAAAATGAAGTGGCAATGCATTGCATTATTTTAACTTAACATTTGCATACACGGAAATTAAAAAACGGAATTAAATTTTTAAATAGACAAATTCCGTCTTAAAAATGAACCATCTAACTCCATTAACAGTCAATGAATCTCGTATTAAAACCTCGCACTTAAAACTACAAAATAAAAGTCGTGCACTTTAAAAACGTTTTCTCAATGCGTGCAAAAACACCATGCACCAGGCCTAAGTAACTTTATAAAAGATAACTTAATCCTTCTAAACTAACCTGCTTGCATGTCACAAGCTGTTTTAGAGTGATAAAGAAATGAATGTACCGTACCTGGAGAGCGTCCCGGTCTGTCTGCACTGAGAGGGCAGCGCGCGCTAACAGGCGCGCAGCAGCGACTCTGCTCATATATATTGACTGGGAGCATTGCCCGCAGGCACTACAATACAGCAGCTCCCCCCTCCCTCCTCTCCCCCATGGATTGTCAAATGTGGTCTCTACCTTGCAGCCAGGATGCAACATAACAACTTAAACAATATTGGCAAAGGTTACAGTTTGGTGATGGCTCCTCGTTAAAACGGAGTGTGACGTGCCATTTGGCGTCTGGGTGAATTTCTCAATTTGTATTTCTTTTTTAAGGTAGCTTCATGGGTGTTTTTAAACCAAATGCTTTTCACTGAAATATTAAACTATTACATGTTTTAAATATGTTTTGTGGTTGTCTGATTGTCCGCTGTTACCTGATTTTATACATGATTTAAACCATTTTGAACTACATTTGGAGACAAAAAGATTATACAGGGAAAATCATTTAGCAGATGCAAGACCTTGAATCTGACTTATTATGTTAAAATCTCAACAATCATAACTGAAAAAAAGTCTGAAAAACAATATTTGTTTCCGCTCTCATTCTCTTTTATATATATATATATATATATATAGCCTATATATATATATTTTTTTTAAAGTACTGTAACAATCAAAAGCAAAATGAACACAATAGTGACACACACAACATTTGGGAGATTACCAAAAACGATTTATTTATTTATTGTAACAATTTCTTGTTTTAATTGTTCAAAATAAAATACCTCATGACAGTAATTATATCAGATAAAGCAAATTTCCAGCAGGTAAAAAGATAAAAACACAACTATTGTTTAGGTTTACGTTGCATTTTCATATGGGAGTGCATCTATGGCTTCTTCTGCTCTGAAATACTTTTTTAAGGATTTGAAATGACCCTATACACCATCAGTTTTTTTCCTGAACTTTCTCTGAATGCATTATATTAATAGCAACTACACAGACCCGTTCATTTCCGTGCTCGTGTGTTTCTGTGATGTGTGTGTGCTCTCCACTGTCTCACACGGTCAGTATCAGTGTGTTTTTGGGGAGGCTGGGGGTGCTTTCCACTTCACTTCACCTGCATCACCAACAACAGGGATGTAGTTGAAGGTGTTTGTGTGTGTGTGTGTGTGTGTGTGTGTGTGTGTGTGTGTGTGTGTGTGTGTGTGTGTGTGTGTGTGTGTGTGTGGTGTGTGTGTGTGTGTGTGTGTGTGTGTGTGTGTGTGTGTGTGTGTGTGTGTGTGTGTGTGTGTGTGTGTGTGGGGGGGGGGGTTATTAGTGCAGTGGTACAGGGCACTGGATGGGTTACTGACATGAGCTGTAAGATCACAACCACAGGCGATGACTGACATGTGTGTCTTCTGACAGTTTAAACTTTTTACACAACAACAGTGTGGGGAAGATGACATTCCCATCTAAAAAAGTCAAATACAATACTAAAATGAAATGACAGTAATAACACTCATTAGATAAAAAAAAGACAAAGAAACAATCAATAGGATTGCTTCGACACTTCAGATAACTAGGTTGAAGGCTCAATACATCCAACAACTAAAAACACAAACTAATGTCAAGTATATTTCTTTTTCCATATGATCCCACCCTTCGTTAGAGTTTGTTTTCCGTTTCATATTGTGTTGTGCCACCTTTTGATATTTTGTGGCAATCATTCTCAACTCTTTCTTTACCTGCCCTTCTTATTCACCCCCCTGTCTCAATCCTCATTTGTCTTCTTTTCTAAATCAACTCCAACCTCTCAATCTCCACTTCCTCTCCCTGCCTCTTTATCCATCTGCTCTCTTAGCCTGTGGCGGGCTTTGGGTCAACTCCAGGTTCTTAATTTCTCTCCTCTGGCTGGGTGGGATGAGCGCATGCGAGCCCTCTTTGAGAAATGTCAGTGTCCATGTGCTGGGAAAGTCGGGGGCCCTTCACGAGCCATCAGACCCGCTGTCACACCGAGGCGGCTAAATGGAGACTGACAGGCCGCTCCATAGAGCCTAACCATCTGTACCAAATGTGACAGCAGGGGAAAGAGGATGTCTGGTAAATCGGGAGGAACGACAGGACTGCACTATGACATGGAGGAGGGAGTAGAGAAGCAACATCCTCCACTTCTTAAAGCGCGGTCACATGAGAGGTGATGTCAGTTGTTTCTCAAAGAGAGTCACTGGTTCTTTCCTACTATCCAGAGATACTTCGGAGGCAGTGTCTCCTGTTACGTGTATGTGTGTTACATGAGGACTGTCTCCTTCAGTGCTGCCACTTCCTTCAGCCTCTTTAGGAGATGTTTGGTATTAAAGATGCCAAATGCTTTAGTCTGTACACGGTCTAACAATCTTGATTGGAGCCCACAGTGTCTCTACATTGATTTTTTCAAACTCTTACAGAGGTATACCACATAAGTCATGCAGAAATCACTAGGAATAAAATACAATACAGAGTAAAAGGAGCTTATGTTTTTTTATATGATTGATACAGCTATGCGTGAAGGTTTGATAACTTAGTACAAGGACACCAGGTGTGTTTTGAACATAAAACTAACAGTACTTATCCAAAGCAAAGGAAATGTTAGAGTTAAATGGGATACGTTAGTGTTGTGTGATGGTTTCCCACTTAAGCAATATAGTGATAATACATAACATTTTTACTGGATTGCTTGTGATAAAGAGAGAAAAAGTGCATCCTGCGTTGTAAAGTTTATCTAAATGGGTTGATCTATACTTATACAGTCAATAATAGACCTTCATTCCCCACTTCGGGTATCATTCAGCTAAAGAAATGTTAGGTTCTTACTTAATAATATTGAGTTCATTGTGGCCGAGAGTTTTAATCTTCTTTGCTTCTCTGTAAAATCCACTAACACAAAATAATTAGAACAAAAGTCTGTGTTTATTGGTTAATGGTACTCTTCTTAATGTAGTTATGTATAAAGGGTATTTATTATCTGAGGAATCCAAGCACTTAACCATGCATTTAATGATTTAATTAATCAATACTTTGTGGCAAATGATTAATGTTCTCTGTAAGCAGTTGTGTATGAAGGAGGGTATTACACAGAGCTCTAATTTAATCAGACCTGTTATTCATTTCTTGCATTAACTTCTTTTTATACTTCACACACAAAAAAAATGTTGTACCTTCAATTGGAAAAAGTAGGAATGTGAAGAAGCGGAGACTTGCAGTGTGAGCACAGAAGTCTCCTGGCGAGTTAAGAGAGTTGAGGGTCCTTATGGAGCGCATCTGGGGAGGCTGACAGGAGCACTCTATTACCACTCAGAGAAAGGAACCTGAGGGCTGCAACAACACTGCTACCAGCGCCATCCAGCTGTGCCGATGCCTCCAAACACACACACACACACACACACACACACACACACACACAACCACAGCCCATGCAAATTAAGAAAGAAAAAAAATCAAGATGGACTATGGAGTTATAGAAAGATGGGAAGATAGGTGACTAAACAGCGACCTCTAACCCAGGGTGGGTCTTTCCGCTGCCTGAGTTTTAGGCCTGAGGTGGAATAGCTAACAGCTCCTCTCTTAGTCTGTGCTGCTGGGCACATTAACTAAACTCATATCGCTCTCAGCCACTATCAATTATTCACCATCCCCCTCCCCATTTCTCTGCTTCCCCTCGTTTTCAAAGGAGAATATCTCCAGCAGCTTTACCCACACACAGCCACAGTGACTAAATAACCTCATGCCTTTAGTGACTTCCTTTCTTTGAGTTTGGTTTATGAATTCAAATTACCATTATTATCCTAAAAAATATTCTTTAACATGCTAAGAGCTGTCTTACATCACTGTTGCAACAATAAAGTGTACACACTCAGCTTCTCCATGTGTAATTGAGATAATATTTCAAAATCTTGGAGAATAAATAGAATTTTTTTTGTGTTTTTGCTTTTCCTTCGAGGCACTTTAGAATTCCCAAGTGGAGCTTCGGTGTTTCGCTCAAGGACACTTCAGGATAGACACTAACCAAATGAGGCTTAGGAACAGTTTCTCAAACAGTTTGGCCTGTTTGAAACTTATATAATAATGGACTATCATTGCCTTGCAAACATAAACATTTTAGGAGGAATATCTGAAGATTATAAGGAAATATGCCTCTTAGTATTCTTGCGGATGGCTAAGCTTATAGCATAACGACGTCAAATGATGGAAACAGCTAAATTGGCTTAGACCAGTGGTAGAAAAAGATCACCTGCCCACCCCAGTAAAGCTCACGTTACACCGACTGTAATTAGTTTAAGCTAGTAGATGGATGCTTATATGATATGAAACTTTAAAGTCAGGGAAATCAATCAATAAGCACTTTTCATTTCCTGCTAGCTTGAAAATAA